GCTAAACCTATACTGCTCAACCCCCTGTCACCTGCCCTTCGGACTTCCTCCTGGGGCTGAACACTAGTCTCCTATAGCCCCTCCCTGCCCGGCACCCCCCCCCCCCCCCGCCGCCAGCTCTGGCCCGGCCTTCTCCTGCTCCATCTGTTTCTCCCCCCCACACACCCCTTGCAGCTGTTTTGCCCCACGTCCTTTCTCCCTGCCTTTCTTGCCCAGCTCCTGGGTCCCCCGCCCCCTCCACAGCCAGGCTGGATCCTCAGCTTTTCATGCGCAACTAGGCCACCTGGATGTTCTACTGAGTCAAACCCAGCACTGGCTCCCTTCCTCCCCTCCCCGGTGTTTACTGAGCACCGACTACCTGTAGGAGGCCGGGGCCACAAAGACAGAGCTGGCTTGCCCAGCGTGGCTGACGTATCCTCCCCCTGAGCTCCAGCCTTAGCCCGGAGGAGCTTGGCTCAAGCCGCTCTGGTCACACCCAAGGGACACGCCACAAGAAGCCATGCACGGTATCCCAGGGGGCTCGGAGCGCGAACCCGCTGCCCATGCACAGCCAGCAACACAAAAAGCGCACGCACGCACTCACACACACACACACACACACACACACATTCACTCCCTGTTCATTCTTGCCTTTGAATGGGTCCTCTCGTCTGTCAGCCCCACTCAGTGTTGACAAAGCAAAATAAAAAATAAGAAGAAAGAAAGAAATCCGTCCTGTCACTTGGACTCCCCCAACCCTGCACGGGGCTTGGCAGCCCCTCCCCCCCACCCCGCCCCCGCCTTTGTATTATGGGTTTATGTCAAGGTATGTTGGATTCTAAATTAAATGTCAGCCCACTGTACATTTCTGGCTCCAGCCGCAGAAAATGAGGAGCTGGCGTTGGAGACCATCCAGTCGTTCAGCTCCCCGTGCCTAACAGCGAGGGGTGACAAGCCCATTGAATCACTGCGCAGTAGCTTTCCATGCCACGGGAAGCCAAGACAAATTTATTTTTAATGATAAATGCAACTGTCAGAGTTAAGTTGAAACAGCTTTACGGAGGGAGCTGAGCACCCCCACCGTGCAGGGCGGAGGCTGAGTGGACGAGGGCCAGAGGTCCCGACCCCTGACCAGCTAGTCCCCAGACCCCAGGGGACAAGCACATTCGACATTGGGCCCACGTGCGCCGAGTCCTGCCGCAGGCCAGCTCCGCGGCGCTCGCTGAATGTCTCAGGCTCAGCTCTAGCCAACCAAGAGGAGGAGCCAAGTAAGAGAGAGAGGTGGGCTCTGGCCGGGCAGAGACCTGGCCTCAAATTCTGGCCCCATCCGTTGCTGTGTGACCTAGATCAAGTTACTTAGCCTCTCTGAGCTTCGGTTGCCTCGTCTATAAAACAAGGATATCAACAACACCCTCAGGGTTTTGGTGAGGATTACGTGAAATAGATAGATTGTTAACTTTCCTGCACATGGAAAACGCTTACAGAATGGTAGCTATTAATTATATCACTTTACTAATAGCACTGTTACTCAAGTTATGTAACTTACCTTTCTGAGTCAGCTTCTCATCCATAAAATGAGGAGAACCATCACTCCCACTCATGAAGGTGGCTGGGAGGATACAGCGTGCCTGGCACGGGGCTGAGTGGCGGGGTGACATTCAACAGACCACAGGCTGTCACAGGGCCGGCGCCCTGACTGTCGGCACCCGATGCCCCGGCCGCTCTTTCTCCTCTCCTTCATCGCCCCTCTTCTGCCCCATCCCCCTGCCCACGCCCTGCACGCAAGCCCTGGGAGGGGGTGCCTGCATTGGGACGCCCACAGCTATGCGCTCTGTCACCCTGCGGTGGGCACCCCTCCACGGGTGGCTGTCTTTGGCCGCTGATGACCTATGATTGACACGCCCTGGCTCTTAAGGATCAGCAGGATGGGTCACAGACCTCTCTGGGGTTTTAAACTAAAAACGTTGGTGGGGCTACGGTGTCACGGCAGGAAAGACAGGAACACGCAGAATCGTGGGCCGGGGGAAGGAGGGGGCGTGGACGTGCAGGGAGTGGGCAGGGGTGGCAGCGAAGTCTCAGGCTTCGTGCCATGCGGCCTGGAGGTCCTGGGTCCCCGCTCCCCAGAGGGCCTGGCAGTCCCTGATGCCTTATCTTGGGCTGCCTGCAAACGCCTGATTCCTCCTGGCCAGGCGGGCACACCTGGGCTCTTCCCTGCGGCTCTGGAACAGCCTCTGTGTCAAGAGAAAATCAGAGGGTGGGACCCTGTTCCCTCTGGGGAATCTGCTCACGAACACCTTAGGGCCAATGAACAGAGGGTGGCCCCTCCGCTTCCCGGAAAATGCCCCAAGCGTGTCAGGTGAGTAAAGCGCTGACCAAACGCCTTGGGCTCATGCCAAAGCTTCCACCAGGGCTGACTCTTCTCCTGGGTGCTGAGCAGGGGGGTGATGGGTGAAGACTGCCCCAGACTCATGTTCACCGCACCCTGCGGGCTGGAAAGGGAGGAGCCTGAGGCTGAACAGGTGAGACAACCAGACAGCCCACAGTGCCAGGAGGAGCCGCTAGGTGGCCCCCGCTTACCTGTCACCCACCCTTCCACGGGCCTGGAGCAGATCCTGCAGCCTGCCTCCTCTGGCGCTCACCTTGCAAGCTGCCGGTGCTCTCTGTTCCCCACCCTGGCTCTGTGGCTTCACCGCCGCAAGGCCTTCTTCCCCTGTGGCCGACTCAGGCCCCTCCTTCTCCAGGAAGCCTGCCTTGGAGCACACACCAGGACCCCTGTGGGCCCCTACCCCGCTCAGAATCCCAGTTCAGGGTCCCCCTCGGGCTGGTCCCTCATCTCTGCGTGGACCCCAGAGGGAGTTTACAGCCTCTCCTCAAATTAGAATCACAGACAGGAAGTCCCAGCCCCAGCCTGGCGACCTCTCCAGTCCCCATGAAGAAGGAGGAGGTTACCATTTCTTGTTCAATGAGGAAACTGAGGCTGAAGAGGACAGGAAATCTGCCCAAGGTCAGAGGGGGAAAGCCTGAAACCTGCCCAGGTGCTTCCACGCACTCTCAGAACCTCCCAGAGCCCTTCTGAAGCAGGCGCTGTTAACCCGTTGGTACACCTCTCTGCCCAAGCCTAATGTCCTGCTGGGTCACCTGCCATCACCTAATCCACAGGAACCAGGCCCAGAAAGGGCGCGCTGGGACCCGCTGGCCCTGGCTGGGCAGCCGGCGGTGGGCAGTGCGATGGGGCTGCGGGGCTGCCACAGAACAGCCGTGCAAGGAAGAGGAGGCTGCGGACAAGCAGCTGGTGGGTGCGAACCCAGCTTCTAGTGGGGGAGTGACGGTCTACTCAGATGGCACAGGGCACGGATTCCCACGCCATTCCCCCTCCCCCGCCCCAGCTACCCTCTTCCCCACCCCCACCCCCACCCGGCAGCCTGCCCCGCCAGTGCAGGGCGCGGAGACGGCCCGGGAGGGGGACAAAAATGGGACGACAGACTGGCAGCCAGTGGGAGAGAGACGAAGACGGTGCCAGGGAACAGCGTGGCTGGCCAAGGCGCCCCGGGAGCCGGAAAGCAGCTTTGGGGAGAAGCCGGGAGCGAGACCGGGGGCGGGTCTATTCTGCAGAGGGGGCGGCTGAAGATGAGGGTCGCAGAGAGGGGCGGGGGAGGGGCCGTGGGCCCGGCTCCCGCGGCGGCCCAGGGAGACGGCCGCCGGCAGCGGCCGCGGCGTCGGGCCGTGTGGGCGTAGCCCGGTCAGAAGCCACAATAGCAGCTCATTAACGAGGCAGATTAAGGACTGCCAATTACCTACGAAGGCTGCTCGGGCGGACTCGACGCTTTCAAAAGTGCTGCTGGTGGGAGGGGGCGACTAAGAAGCCCCCTCCCGGCACACATCCCTCCTCTGCCCGGCAGAGGAGGAGCCGGGGGCCGGGACGGCGCGGGGCGCGCCTGGGAACGCAGGCGATCGCCGGGGGGCGCGGGCAGAGCGCAGGGACGCTCGTCCCCGCGACAGCAGCGCGGGCGGCTGTCGCGGCGCCGGGGACCCCTACTCGGCCCGCAAGTCGTCTAGGCACGGAGGCGTCGGGCCGGCTTTGCGCGAGCAAGGGCCAGGGCGCAGCTCTGAGACTCTGGCTGAGACGCCCCCAGGGCCGACCTCGCGTGCCAGAGTCCCCAGGAGTTTGTCTCCGGAAGCCGGAGACTCCGGGACCCGGCTCACTAGCCCTGGGCCCGGAACTAGACCTCGGAGACCCGTAGGGGGCGCACTTGGGCCAGACGCTCCGTCCTGCCCCCAGCCCGGGTCTTGGGGTGAGCCCAGCGCGTTTTGGGAGCCAGGAGGAGAGCGCCGCTCCCGGGGGACGCTGACCGCCGGGCGGGGGCGCCCACGAGGCCCGCCCGGCGCCGCGCCCGGGCGCACGGTGAGTTGGCTCGAGTCCGGCCCGGGAAGTTTTCGAGGAGGCGCCGCGGGGGTTTTCAGGCCCCTCCGTGGGCCGGCGAGGGCCGGGCTGCCCACAGCGTTTGCTGACCTCCCGCTGGCCTCGGGTGTCTAGGGCCCGATCTGCCTCCCTCGTATCTTGGCCTTTTGGAGGTGGAATGTAACAATCGCAGCCCGCGGTGTGTGAATGTGAGTGTGGTGTGTCTGTGTCAGAGGGAGACCGGGGAGCAATAAAAGGCAAAGAGAGTCCGAGACAAAAAAGAGGGGGCGGGGGGGAGACGCGGAGACTGAAGAGGAGGGAGGGAGGAGGGCGGAGGCAGAGGAGCGCGCAGCGGAGGCGCGGGAGCGGGGAGCTGCGAGCGGGGACGGCGCGCAGCGCGAGCGGCGGGCAGGCGGGCGGCTCTGGCGCTCCCGCTCTCAGCCTCACGCACGCCCGGGCGCACACCTGCACACTCCCGCCCGCTGGCCCGGGCCGCCCCGGCGCGGGGCACGGAAGCGGGGATCCGGAGGGCAGAACGCGCCTGGAGCCCACGCCCACCTCGGCGCCTTTGCGCTCCGCAGCGGCTCGCCTCGGCCGGCGCCCCCGCCCGTCCTGCCAGAAGATGGTCAACGACCGGTGGAAGACCATGGGCACCGCTTCCCAACTTGAGGACCGGCCTCGCGACAAACCTCAGGTACGCGCGAGCCAGGCTTGTGGGGACATTCTGAGTCCCTGGCGGTGGCCGATCGCGCTGGCAGGATGGACACCCAGCTCCAGGCGGGAGTTTGGGGAGCACCCCTGCGAGGCTCTGGAGGCTGGGGAAGGAAGGGCAGGCGCCCTCTTCTTCATCGCCTGCCAAGGAGGATTGAACTTGGGGCTGAGATTGGGGCCACACCCCTGCAGGAGGGAGGGCCCCCTATGTTCCTCCAACAGACTCCCAGTGCACGCGTGTGTCCGAGGGACCTTTAGTTGACAGTGCGGCCAGTCCTTTAGTTGGCTGAGTGATCTCTCGCTGAGCCTCTGTTTCATCACCTCCACAACGGGCATCATAACTACTTACTAAGCCGTGTGCCACCTGGTCCCAGGTGCCTGGAATGGCAACCTGCGCTTCAGGACCAAAACTTGACCCCCCTCCATCTCCTCTAATCCTCACACTTTAGCCAGCCTCCCCCCCCCCACCGTCCCCCTGCCCCCCACACAGAAGAGGATCAATAGATATTTGCCTCCTGTGAGGATGCTGGGCATGGCGCTCTCCAGCCTGCAGACCAGGAGAGCAAGGCTGGGAGAGGGCTGCTCCTGCCGGAGGGCACACAGCCCACCGGGACTTGAGGCTGGGTTTGTGGGCGCCGGGTCTGTGCATTCCACCCTTCCTGCTGCCTCTTCAGGGGCAGAGGAAGTGGGCAGGACTGGAGGGTGCCCAGGGCTGAGCTCCGGACGGAGGTGAGGGCAGAGCTCCAGGGCTGGCCAGTGACGGGGCTGGAGACCGGAGGCTGAGTGGAGGGGCGGCCCGGGGGCTGCCCCGGGCCAGGCTGCCTAGGGACCGGGGCCGGCAGGCGAGAGGAGGAGGCCCGCTCGCCAAGGAGAGGAATTAATGGGGCTGCCCGTTTTAAATTTCAAATTTCTCCCAGACAGATGTCATTGGGGAAGGAACAGTTCGTGTTGGCAGCCGCAGGAGGGGGCGGCAGGCGCGGGCCTTGGCGGCCCCTCACTCTCCCAAGCTGCAACTCGCTCATTCTTCTGGAGTGACACGCTGCTGGGGGTGGGGGGCAGCCCTACAGTTTGCAAAGCTCCTTCCCAACCTCACTTCCCACAGCGGCCGGGGGACTACACGTGGATGCACGTTCCCAAGGCACAGAGAGAGATGGTGGCTCAGAGAGGTGGGGGTATATGCCCAAATCCCATGGCACATCAGCGGGAGAGCAAGGCTTAGAGGCCAGGCCTGACCCCGAGCCGCCCCCGCCAGGTCCGGTCCACACCCCAGCCATCCGCAGATAAGGAATCTGACTTTCTCCCCTCCTGGCAAGAGCAGGCTTCCCTCCTAGACCTGTGGTCCAAAGGCACCCCTAGCCTGGCCCACTCTCCCTTTTTATTACCCCCTTACAGGTACTAAGTTCTTCTCATCTGCCAGCCCCTTGTCGCACACCAGGCTGCCCATCTCTGATCTGTTGTTGTCTCATCAATTGGCTGCGCCAAGCTCTTCAACACACACACACACACACACTAGCCTTTGCTCAGGGAAAACCTACCAAATGCCGCCTCCTCCAGGAAGCCCTCCCTGATGCCCACAGGCAGTCTTGACCCCGCAGCATTGCGCCCTTGCTGCTCAGCTGTCTTGTGCCCTAGCCCTGAATCTCTCCTCTATCAGGAGCTTCCTTTGGACATGTGCTCCTTCTGGGCCCCCATCCCGGGGTCTCCCCCAGGCCCAGGCGGCTGGCCTTTCGGCTGCTCAGGTCGGGAGCTGAGGGATATTTGTTGAAATGAGCTGCATGGAGCCTCAGCCAGGGGGCGCTGAGGGAGAGGCGCCAGCAAGTGCTGCTGTGTCTCCAAGGGAGGTGGCTTCTGGGGGATCTGTCTGAATTGTGGCTTCAGGGCCTCCTGGGCTGGCCTAGTCTTCGTCTGCTGCTCCCTGGGGACACATTCCAGCTGCCACCAGGCCAGGGCCCAGCTCTGCCCTTTGGCATCAGAGGCTGCTGAGGGCTGGTGGCCCTGGGGGCCTGGGCCGCTGTCAAGCACTGCCTCACCTGGCAGCTCTTTGGATGACCCATCATGTAGACAGGCTGTCCCCTGGGCCAGCTCCAGGCAGGGCCTTTCCGTGCCCTCTGTCGGAAAAGAGAGCCTTGGCTGCCCTACTTCCCTCCAGCCTGTTCCCTGGGGCCCTGCTTCTCGCTGCATCTCGGCCCCAGACGCGCTGTGTGATTCCGGGTACGTCCCTCCCCACTCAGGGCCTGGGCTTCGCCGTCCGTAAAATGGAGCCGCAATACCTGCACCTCCTCCCTTCACGAGGGCTGTTGGGGGTCGACGTGCTGGCGTGTTCTACAAACTGTAGAGCATCGTGCACCCCTCAGGATGGTGGTGGTTCTCGGAGCAGCCTGTCCCCGCCCCTGCAGGTGGTCGGAGTCCTGACTGCCCCTCTGCCCAACAGGGAAAGGGTCCGACCCCCCTCCCCCCACCGCTCCCACCAGCGGGCCTGGCTGAGGACCTTTGACGGCCATGCTCTCTGGGAGAAGACGGCAGTGCCGCAGCCAGACACCCACAGCCTCATCCCCTCAGCTCTCGGTTCTTAGTCTCATCCCCCTGGGTGGTGGGTGGCAGGGCTGATCGCCCTGCTTGACAGATGGGGAAACTGAGGCTAAGAGAGCGGGTGCTGGGACTGAACCTGGGTTCTCCCAGGAGGCTGATGAGCGTCGGTGGGAAAACGAAGGGAAGGAGGCTGCTGTCCTTTCTCTGCTGAGCCTGCTCAGCCGCATCATGTAATTAACTCCCAGGGAATGGGCTTCGTGATTCCCAGACTCACGGCGCCCACAGCCAGCGAAGGGCTTGTGTCCAAGCATCCCTCGTTTCCGGGGACGCCTCGGGCTAGCTCTGTCCCGGCCGTCTGGCCTCAGCTCCTTCTTTGCTGAGTGACCTTGGACAAGGGGCCACCTTCATTGGAGCCTCGCTTCTCCCCTGCAGGACGAAGGGGCTTGCACGCCCTTGGGGCAGAGGATGACGGTGGCATATTTGCCAGGAGCTCCGAGTTGCTCCAAAGGAAGGATCTAGAAATAGCCCTGATTCTTGTACTCCCGGAGTGTGCAGCAGGAAGCCATCATGTAACCATCTCCTGGGGGGCAGTCCTTGCTTCTGAGTAGTCCCCCCGCCAAGCCACCCCATGGGGCAGCCCACCTCCGACCTAGCCCGGGCAATTTTCTTAATACTTTCGAAACTTCTAAAAACATTCCAGAAAGAAAAAATAAATTCTCCCTGAGGAGTGCTTCCTGATGTCTAACCTGAACGCTGCTGCGTTTAATTCACTCAATGACACTTACGGAGTCCCCGCAGCCAGTCGGTGCAGCCGGAGCGCACAGTCTCCGGGGACACACACAGACTCACGAGACGGGCCCTGTCACAGAGCTTGACGGGCGCGAGGCTGAGACGACGCCTCTCTCCTCTTGGTCCCTGGGGCCCGGGGTGAGGTCCCTGTGGGGCCGGGTTGGGAGAGGAAGCGGGTGAGAGGGAGAAAGAGGCTTGCAGGGGCCTCAAGGCAGAGACCCCCTCCTCCGCCTGTCGTTTCCGGAGCCCTTCCTCCAGGCCCCAGCTTGTCAGCCAGCTGTGCGTGACAGTGACCGGAAGCCCGGGGCGGAGCGCGTCGCCTGCAGGCACCCTGGGCCACAGCCCTCTTCCCAAGTCGTTGGGACCCCAGGATTTTGAGCAGAACCACCAGCCCCTCACTCTGGGGGTCTCTGGGGCCCCTCTCAGGGTTCGGCTCAAGTCAGTGGCCATTTGCCCAGGGATGGGCTTCTGGGGGAGGTAAGGCGGACTCCCCCAGAGGCTTGGGCAGGGACTGGGCCTTCCACCCTCCCCACAGACCCCATAAGCCCCCCAAGAGAGCCCCTGCCGGGCCCCAGACCACACACCATCCACCCGCGTTTGTCCCCATCTGCCCCCCCCCAGTGTGTCTCCCTCATGAACAGCCACCCCGCCTTTGGCTGGGGCGCCCCAGGAGAGGGGCTGGGAGCGGCTCGCACCTGGGCCTCACCCCCCGGCCTCTCCTAGGGGGGTTTTTTCCTTCCTACCCCGGTACGGGCAGCCTGGGCTCAGTCCCCCTGAGGTCAGCCACTGCCCACGTCCGTAGGTCACAAGGAAGCCGGCAGACCGGCGGCACAGGGCGGCCAGCAGGGCGCCAGGGCGGGGAGGCCCTTCCCCGGAGCCCCCGCCCCTCTGCCAGACCCACGCCCACCTCTGGAGGCTGGGGACGCAGGGGAGGCAGCAGGGCGGATGCCAGCCCTCAAGTGAGCCTCCTCTGGGGCTTCCTGCCTCCTGCCTCCCCTGCCCAAGCCCATCTTGTCCTCCCCTTGGCCCGGGCTTCCTGGGCGGCCTGACCAGGGGCCGGCACGGGGGGGTCCCACAGGGGACGAAGCCATGTGTCTCCAGTTGGGAGCTGGTGCAGGTGGTTGGGGCAACAGGGAGCCTTAAACCTGGGGCTCCCCTCAGGCCCCCTGCCTGGGACACCTTCCCGGTCTCCCACCCCTCGCCGCTGGAAGGGGACCCTGTGTGCACCCCCAGGCTCTGCCTCGGCCGAGGCTGATCACCAAGCTCCAGCCCCAAGGCATCCCTGGCCGGGCTGCTGCTGCCCGAAGCCCCCTCATTATCGCGGGCAGATTTCTTTGCAAGGCACGTCAGCGGCAGCCTATAAAAGCGAGCAGCCCTTCATGTGTAAGGTGATCTCTGAAGACGAATCCTCCTCTGCCTAGCGAGTGGCGGCCCGTTTCATCTCCGAGTTCCGTTGTCCCTGCCCCTCGGGGACCCCCTGCAGCTTTCTCGAGCCCCTCCCCTCCTCCACGACCCCGCCTGCCCGCCAGGGACCTGGGTGTCCGAGAGCGCCGGGGCCCTGGAGCCTCGTGGGGCACACGGCGGCCACTGCCTCGCCAGCCGGGGACAGTGAGCTCTTCAGCTGGAGGACGTTGCTCTGAGCTGCTCGGGGCAGGGGTCTGCCCATGGGCCCCAGGAGGGCCTGAGGGAGACTGACTTGCTGACACAGAGCTTTGTGTCTCCAGCGCCAGTGACACCTCAGGCAGAGGAAGGGACCCCGTGGGGTCGCTCGGAGGGCAGCCTGGGCACAGACGGAGCCGCCCGGCCCTGGTTCAGGTCTTCCGTGTGACCTTGGGCGGAGCCTTCTGCCCCCGAGCCCCAGAGTGACTCCGACCCCAGCAGGGGGTTATTTGGAGGTTCCAGGGGCAGGAACGTGGTACCTACGCCAGGGCCGGCAGGGATGGGGCGGTGCCTGCGGTCTGGAAGCCGCTCTCCTGTACCGACTGGGCAGCTGGGACATCCTGCAGGCTGCTTTCCTGCGCGGCAGGCCATCAGAGGTGGCCGCAGGGTCAGAGGCGCCCTGCCTCGGGGTTCCGGGCTCAGCGCGAGGTCTTGGGCCCCTGCCCTCCCAGGCCCTGCAGGCCCCGGTGCCGCCACCTCCTCCCCATGCCAGCGTGGCCCCAGGGAAGTGGCTTGGTGCCTCTGCTCTTCCTTCCACCCGACAGCCAACCGCTCCGTGCCAGGTAGGGGGCAGGTCCCTGCCCTTCGGGGCCTCCTGGTCCAGGGCAAGTCTCCTGGGCCTGGGATGGCCATCCCCCAAATGCCAGCTTTCTCTGTGTCCGCAGCTGTTACCCCTCAAAGGGATCGTGTCCCCAAAGAGGGTAGGATTCGCAGCCTCTGGGGCATGAGCTCTCTCAGGTCAGGGCCAGGACAACTGTCCACCATGACGTCCTCGGGGGCTGGCCTGGAGCCTGGCTCATGGGGACAGCAGTGAATGCTGACTGGATGTCAGAATGAAGTCAAAAATGATGACAACCTGTCTTGATAAGTGCCACCAAGAGGTCAGCAAGGGCTGAGAAGAGGAGGGCAGAGGAGACAGTCACGGGAGGCTTCCTGGAGGAGGTGGCATCTGGCGGAGCCCTGAGGGAGGAGTGAGTTAGGCCAGTGGAAAAGGAGCAGGGGAAGCAGGGTGCAGCTAGTGCAGAGCTGGCCGAGGGGAGCCCCCGGGGGCAGGTCTGGGTGGAGTGAACTGGGTGGATGTGGCCTTGGGGCCCGGGCCGGTGCGGGGAGAGGAGGGCTGGGGCAAGCTCAGGGGCAGGAAGTCCCCATCGCTGCAGGGACAGGCTGAGGCAGCGGTGTTCAACCTGTCTCATCACACGACACACATCAACTAATTACTAAAATTCTGCGGTACACCAAAAAATGATTCTTGCTGATCTGACAAAAAATAAGTATAATTTTGATTGACTTACAAAAAATAATAATAGTGATCACCCACCCTTTTTGCTCCAAAGAGACTTTTAAAAAATCAGGTGCCTATACTTGTATCTAAGGTTTTCTGGTACCAAAAATTAACCAATCAGAAGCAACCTTATTATGCAACGTGATTAATACAATTCAACTTTGTTATACGACTTATTTATTTACGGCTCAAGACAGGGCAGGCCCACCAGATGGCTACTGTTGAGTTGGCTATGGTCATTTTTTCACTTGACAGTCCCAAGGGTGTCCAACCTTTTGGCAGCTCCGGGCCACACTGAAAGAAGAGGTGTCCTGGGCCACACACTAAATACATTGCGACACATGATCACAAACAAAAGCTTACAACGTTTTAATTAAATTTACGATTTTGTGTTGATCGGCATTCAGAGCCAACCTAGGCTGCATGCAGCCCTCAGGCCACCGGTTGGGCACCCCCGGAAGGGAAAGGCGGTCAGTGTCCCCCACTAAACAGTCAGGTGTCGCATGGCTTAGAAAGCCGTGCCATGTAGCGCTGGAACACCGCTAGGCAAAGGAATTCTTTCCTTTAGCTCACCAGTAACAGAGACGGCTTCCTTGGGGGGCTGCTTGTCCACCTGCACCTGTTCCCGGACCCCAGCCCCCTCCAGTGCCACATGGGACACTCAGGAGTTACTTGTAGAATTTGAATTTATGGAAAAGAAGCTGTTTGCTCTACCACATTTTCTCACAGTAAGACCTGTTAGGTGACGTAAAGGGAACCACTGTTTTATGTGTCATGAAGCAAGTGAGCAAGCTGTCACTTCCGGCTGTGAGATGTCCCCAACATCAGCGATGTTACAACGCGAAAAAAAGACAAGGTGCGCGTTAGCATCGGCGGGGCACAGAAGTAACACTTTGAGTGGAAAATAAAAACACCAAGCACTTCCAGATGCTCTGTGCACATCGATCATGAGATAATAAAAGCCGCCAGTATTTACTGCACAAGCGCGCGGCGTCAGGAGCTGCGCCAAGTGCTTCTGTGCACTCACCCACTGAAAGACGCGCCGACTCCAGAATGTGGAAGACGTGGGGGATGGATTCGTGGGAGCGGCTGGCCCTGGGAGGGGGCAGGAGGCTGAGGGTCTAGTCTGAGCTCTGCATCTAATTTGCTGTGTGGTTCTGGGCAAGCCTCCTGCCCTCCCTGGGTCTCAGTTTCCCCATGCGGCAAATGCTTGGTGGCGTCCTCCCAGCTCCCTTTCGGCCGTGGCAGACTCGGCCCAGGGAGTCAGGCTTTGCCACCGCGTCACGGTGCTCCAAGTCCGAGCTGCGCTTGCATCCCTGCTTCCCTTGCTGCCAGCCCCACCGCGTCTCCGAACCCCGGTCCCGCTCTTACCTGGCCTGCCGCCTCCATTCTTCGCCTGCCGTGTTGCCTCGTTTCCGGTCTGGGAGGCACAGCTACCCTGTTGCCCGGCCCTCGTCTCCTCAGAAAGAGGGAAGCCCTTTCCCACCTTGTACTCTGCCACCACGGTGTTTACTCTGTTTATCCCACCGGGGGTGTGCTCTGCGGACAGTGTAGGGAGGGGGGAGGGCAGCAGAGGGGAGGGTGCTCGGGAGGCCCCCCACTGTGCCCAGGCTTGTGGCAGCCTCAGGGGCCTGCACAGGCTTCGGGACTTGGTATGTGGGTGCTCCCGGTTGAAAGGGACCCTCAGTGATTGGTGCCCACTACCCCAAGGCACTCATTCTGCTGGGACAGAGTGACAATTTGCAGCATCATTGTTGTTTCTCTCTTCTTGAGTCTGCATCGCAAGGGCCCAGGGGAGGGGCAGGGCGTGTCATCATTGCCCCCATTTTACAGGTGGGGACATTGAGGCTCAGCAAGGTGAGGTCCCTCGGTCACCCCATGGGAAATGGCAGTGTGGTGAGCTAGGTCTCGTGATCTCCAGACCTCAAGGACTTGGTGCCCTGAGCTGGCCGAGAGGCAGGGCAGGGCCAGCGAGAATCAGGGGGTCACTCTCTCCACCAGTTCCTGTCTCCTGCCTCAGTTTCTCTTCCTGTCCTCCCCCTCCCTGTCTCCCAGCATCTCTCGCTCTCGCTCTGTCTTCAGTGTGTCCCCTTCTGTCTCTCATCTCTGTCTCTATGACTCCCTCCCTCCTGTCCCCAAGAGGGGCACGCCCTGAGCCTTGTCCAGAGGCCCCGGCCTGCCCCTGAAGCGGCCTCTTTCTTCTGTCTCCCGTCCGTCTGTCTGTCTCTGTCCATGTGCCGGGCTGGCCTGCAGCGGCCGAGCTGTGGCTACGTGCTGTGCACGGTGCTGCTGTCGCTGGCTGTGCTGCTGGCCGTGGCTGTCACCGGCGCGGTGCTCTTCCTGAATCACGCACATGCTCCCGGCACGGCGCCCCCACCTGTCGTCAGCACGGGGCCCGCTGGTGCCAACGGCGCCCTGGTCACTGTGGAGAGAGCGGACAGCTCGCGCCTCAGCATCCTCATCGACCCGCGCTGCCCGGACCTCGCCGATGGCTTCGCCCGCCTGGAGGACGCCCAGGCCTCCGTGCTGCGGGCGCTGACCGACCGCCCGGCCGAGCCCCAGCTGGTGGGCGAACAGGACAGGGAGCTGCTGGACTCGCTGGCCGACCAGCTGCCCCGGCTGCTGGCCCGGGCCTCGGAGCTGCAGGCGGAGTGCGCGGGGCTGCGGAGGGGCCACGGCACGCTGGCCCAGGGGCTCGGCGCCCTGCAGAGCGAGCAGGCCCGCCTCGTCCAGGTAAGGGCCCGGGTCCGAGCTGGCGGTCTCGGCGGGGGTTGTTGCTGCCACTTGGTGCCAGCCCCGGGCTGGGCACTTGATGTCCACGGCCTGAGTCCCCAGATGCCCGGGGACCAGGGGCTGCTCTTCTTACAGATGAGCAGGCGAGGCTCAGCAAGGCGAGTTTCCTGTCCGAGCCACCCAGCCAATGGTGCCAGGATTCCGCCTGTCTCCCTCCCGCAGACCCAGTGGCCCTGGGCATTTGGGTGGGACCCTTGGCATCCAACAGGCAGGGCAGACCCAGGGCCTGCGGGGCTCCCCGGTGCTCCAGGGCAGGTGGGATGCTGGCGAGGTCATGGCCTTCAGCAGCAAACTGAGGCTCCAGGTCAGTGGCAAGCCCTCCCCGGCGGGGGCCGCAGGGCCAGAGAGCTGCTCCCGCTCCCCAGACCCACCCCCCATTCACGTCTGCGCAATGCCCCCGCTTTCCAGGGAAGGAGGGACCGGCGAGCGAGCCCAGCCGGACCCTCAGCCTGTCCCCACCGCCCGGCCCCACCCACGCCCCCGAGCAGGCCAGGTCCCAGGGAGAGAGTTTCCGACATGGACCGTGGTGACCCATTTGGAGCACAGTGAGGGATTTCCCTTCCCGGGACCGGGGACTGGGGACCAGTGTTGGATTTGACTCATTTCCCAGAGACTCAGGGTGATTTCAGAGGCCAACGGTCTTGCAGAGCCGTGTCGCCTGGCTCCCAGATCCTCTCCACGCTTCCCGCACCCTCCGCTCATCGGCCCAGGCCTGGGTTCTCAAAGCAGTGCCCACAGGCACCCCTGCCAGGGCTGCCAGAGCCACTGTTAAAAGGCAGGTCCCTGGACCTCAGCCCAGGCTCCCCAGCAGCTCGGCGAGTGCCAGGGTGACTCGTGCGCATGGCTGAGGCTCCCTGGCCTGGAGGTCCTGCCCTCAGTGGTCCAGTCCCAGCTGCGGGGGCCTGGGGCCCGTCAGGCACCCTCCCTGGGGCAGGTCTCCTCGCCTGTAACATGGTGATGACATGGTCCTCCCCAGACAAGGCGCTGGAGCTGCCGGCGGCGCAGGCTCGGCAGGCGCCTGGCACCTGACATGCTGTCTGCACGCCAGCTTCCTCTGTTATTACAGCCGCAATTGTTTGTACCTGAAGCATCAGCCATGGGAGCTCCCATGAAAAATCCCTCTTACAGAAGGAGTGATGGGCCACCACGCGCTAGGCCTGCCCGTGCGCTAACTAGGACCCCCTTCCACAGAGGGGCAGCTGTGGCTGAGTGTGGCGAGCGCCCCGCCTCCACAGGCTGCCACGTCCCCTGGACACACCTGTGCAGCTCAGCCGGCAGGGATGGACCCCACCGGGGACCCGCGGCACGTTTCTGTGTACACCGTAGCTCAAATCACTTGCTGGTTTAAACCGAGCAACTTGCTAACATTTCCTCGCCTGTTAGCAAGTGTGGGCCGTGCCCAAGTTCCGCGTGTGTTTGCATCGTCTGAGAAACACGGGCAGAGCCCAGGAGACTCCACCAGTGATCCGAGCCGTCATCCGCCCCCCCGACCCGCACCCTGCTTTCCACCTCCACACCCACTCCCACCCACGGGCCTCCCCAACGCGCCCATCTACCTGATGCGGCACTAAAGCCCAGGGAGAGGCAGGCCAGCAGGAGAAATCGTGGCCAGACGCTCTCCCTGTGCGTCCCTGCCCGACTCCTCCCGGCTCCCTCCAGCTCTCCCAGGCTCCCTCCGGCTCCCCAGGCTCCCTCAGGCCCCAGGCTGCTCGCCCTGTGTCACCTGCTCAGCAGAGGAGAAGCTGACAGGGAAGGAAAGGTTTTGTAGGCCTCTGCTTCTGGACAAGCCGGGAGTCACAGTCTGCAAGCTGCCCACACGGTCTGTTTCTTGTTTCCTTCCTTGAACAAGCTACTGTCTGGCAGCCGACGGGTTCGGTGTGTAAGGACTCAGCAGGCTCCACGCCCTCGGGCTGGCCGCTGGCCGCTGGCCGCTGTGACCCTGACCTTCCCCTCCTCATGGTCCTGCAGCCTCTTAGAGCCCTGGAAGGGGAGGCGACAGACCCCAGGCCCTTCAGGCCGCAGGCCCAGCCCAGAGGCCTCGGGGACAGCGCTGCACAGAGCCACTCACCTTTGGGCATCGATGGTGGGAAAGGTGGCCGCCCACGGGGGCGGGGGAGGGTACAGAAGATACCAACCGAGCGCGCAGGCCCCCGACATGCTGTCATGAACCGTGGTGACACAGGGCTCATTCCTCTGGTTCGCAGGGGAAACTGAGACACGGGGAAGTTCAGCTGCCCTTGCAGGGCCTGAGTCAACCCCAGAGCCTGGGTCCCAGCCATGGCCCTCCCCCGGGCACGCTGTGCAGGGACGACGCGGCCCTGGGAGGCGGCCTGCGGCCATTCTCCACCCAGGACCTCTCCTTCTGGGCCTCTGTTTCCCCACCGGGAACAAGGAGAAGACAAGGCCTCCATCTGGGCAATGCTGTTGGGTGTGGGCAAGGCCTGGACACGAGAGAGCTGCGCCAAGTCAAAGCCAGGCTCCCACAGTGACGGGTGGCGTGAGGCAGTGCCCAGAGCCCCCACCCACCCCCGCCCCGTCGAGGGCGGGTCCAGCCCGCCTGCCTGCCGGGCCTCGTGGGGGTCAGGAGAGGCGTTGGATGGGGGTAACGTGGAAGGTGCCTTATCAGTTTGCATCACGAGCAGCCAAGGGCTGGGTGCCCTGCCGTGGGTCCCACACCGGGCTGGGTGCTCTCACGGTGTCACTGGTCCTGTGGCGGCGGGGCCAGGGCAGCCAGGTCAGCCCATTGGAAGGGTTGCTGGGGTCCCTCAGCCCCTGCTGCATAACTGGAAGACGCGTGAGCTGGGGTCTGAACCCAGCTCTGCCCGACGCCGGGTGCCGCCTTCCCACACACAGCGGGCTTTATTGAGTCACCCCAGCTGGGCTGAAGGCACAGAAGAGGGTGAAGCGGGAGCCAGCGGTCCCTCCCACACGAGCCCTGTCCTCGGGGCCCTTGGGCTCAGGCCACCCCGCGTCGGGGCCACAGCCGGGCGGGGGCTGCTGAGCCACCGGGCGCCCACCCTGCCGGCACGTGTCAGGCTGCGTGCCCGCCGGAGCCCTTGCCCCCTCTGACGGCCTCTGTGCTCCGCAGCTCCTCTCCGAGAGCCAAGGCCGCATGGCTCACCTGATGAACTTGGTCAGTGACATCCTGGACGCCCCGCACAGGGACCGGGGGCTGAGCCGGCCCCGCGTCAAGGCTGACCTGCAGAGGGCGCCTGCCAGGGGATCGCGGCCCCGGGCCTGTGCCAGCGGTGAGTGGGGCCGAGGGCTGCCTTCCTTGGGTGACCTGGTGCCCAGGCCTGTCCCCCACCATTGTCCCCAACCCCCCGCAGTGATAAGGACATACCGGGGCTGTTTGCCAAGGACTCCCTGCGGCTGGGCAGCACTGGGACCCCCAGCCCTTGCACCATCCTGCTGAGCTCCCCTCCCCCAACCAGCCTGATGAGGTGGGCTCCTCGTGCCCATTTTCCAGATGAGCAAAGCGAGGCGCAGAGATGGCGCTCATCACTCAAACCGCCCCTGCCAGGGAGTGGCAGAGCCAGGGTCTGACCCTGAGGCTGGGGCTCTGGAGCCCGTGACATTGCTGGGGGGACAGACAAGTCAGAGAGGCCCAGGAAGGGACGGAGGGGGCAGGGGCTCCGGCAGTGGGCCAGCCGCCCTGACGGCCTTCCCTGCCGCAGGCTCTCGGCCCCGCGACTGCCTGGACGTCCTCCTGAGCGGCCGGCAGGAGGACGGGGTTTACTCCGTCTTCCCCACGCACGACCCCGCCGGCTTCCAGGTCTACTGCGACATGCGCACGGACGGCGGCGGCTGGACGGTGAGTCCCCGGCCTCCGCTCGGCCTTGTTCAGGCCTGACCCGGGGGGGCCGAGGCCGCCAGCCTCCCACCCTTACCCTCTGGCCCCCGCAAACCTGCCTGTCCTCTCACCAGGGAGCTCCACGCTCACCGACAGTTGCACGGGGCCAGTGGAGGTTGTGAGCTGGCCTGCGGGGGCCACTGGGGAAGCAGACCCTGGGCCCGTTACCTGTCGCCTGCCTGCGGCTCCACCTTCTGCTCCCTGAGCACGGGCCGGCCCGGAGCAGCGGTTCCGGCCGGGGCGGGGCGGGGCTGGGTGCTGGGATGAACCGACGCGTGTGGACGCTGGCTTTCTTCCCGGTCACCCTCGCGGTGCGTGCAGGGGTGACGGGGAAGCGCGGCTGTGGGGGCAGAGGCCCTGCTTGTGGGCTCCCAGCCGGGTGCCGTCCTGACTTCCCACGCCTCCGGCTCCCGCGGGCGGGGGTCGGAGGACAGGGCTGGGCTCTCGGGGAGCCCGCTGCTGGAGAGGCGGAGGGCGTGGTCGCTGCACCACGGGCCCCGGCGTCCACGCACGGGCCCGGCGTGGCTCTCAGTCTAGCTGTGGGGTCGCGGGCAAGTGACGTAAGTTCCCGGAGCCTCAGTTTCCTCATCTGTGGAATGGGGATACCCGCCCCCATCACTTCGTGGTCTTAACAACAGGCAACAGAAAGAGGCTGATTGAAGTGGAAAAGGGGTGTGCTAGAGGGAAAACGGGGGCGGGGCGGGCAGGGGAGACACTAGCTCAGGGCCACCCAGCCAGGAGCAGAGCGCCCCAGGCCAAGCCGGGGGTTGCCTGGTGAGAACCCCAGGGGTGCCTGTGCAAGGCAAGCAGGCGGGCAGGTGAGGTGAGCACAGGTGGGAGGCAGGGCTGCCGTGAGGCTGGGCCTGAGGTGAGAGCGCGGAGAGTCCCCACAGGCCCCGAGACAGACAGACAGACAGACCGCTAGGCCTCTCTACGAGCTCCGGAGGAGAGCTTTTAAATGAACTGGATCCGCATCTAGGGGCTAAAAGCTCTTTGTTTTCTTAGCTCAGGACATCTGAGTTATGGTGTTTGCCTCTGGAATCCCTTCCACGGGAAGAACAGCACCAACTACCAGCCAGAGCCCAAAAATCAGAGTTAAGGGCTAGGACAGACTTAATGAAAGACTGAGACAACAGCCTGAGCCATGAATCCTCACTCAGTCTCCCGGGAAGTCGCTCGGGAGGCGGGGGGCGGGCAGTTCCCGGGGCCGGGCTTCGGGCAGTCAGAGACTCAGCGAACAGGACGTCCGGGCCTCCCACTCTGGCACCTGGATCGGGCCCTGGAAGGATGGCCGGGTTGCGCCGGGAAGTGTTTGCTCGGCCAATAAACGTTAATATCTATTTGGGCTTCCGTCAAAGGCAGCCTTTTCCCAGATATCTCTGGGCGCCTGTCAGGATCAACTCCCTGCCACATGGAATCTCTCAGAAACTCAATTGTCCGGGAGGGAGCCGGCCGCCGCCTCGCCGGCCGCCGATGCCATCCATCCTCATCAGGCACCACGTCCAAGGTGCCGGCCGCGAGGGCTTGCCCTGGAGGGCTCTCCCGGGCAGACCGGGCACCCGGGCTGGACGTTCCAGCTGGAGCCTGCTTCCCAGAGACAGGTGGGGCGGGGAGGGACGCTCAGCTCTGCCCGCCTGTGGGGTTCTTCACGGTTTGTATGCCGCTGCCCGCCCCACACAGCTCCGGCCCCCTCCAATCCCTGGAGCTGGCCAGGCCACCTCACAGAGGCCGCAGGGCTTGTGCAAGGGCACCCAGCGAGGGAGCAGCGGTCTGGGGCGTGCGCACCCAGGCTGCAGAGGCCCAGCCTCACGCACGGCTGTGGAACTGACAGACAGCCGCTGATGCGCAGGCTCAGCCACTGGCCAGGGGACTCTGCAAGCTGCTGGGAAGGCAGGGGGTTGGCAGCTGCCGGGCTGAGGGTACGCGAGAGCCCAGGGGAGAGCCCCTGACCCGGCGTGGGGCAGCCGAGAGAGGCTCCCGGACAGGGGCCCACGTGCTGGGGGACGAGGCAAGAACACTGTTTTGGGCAAAGGGAACACGCGCGTGGAGGTCAGCAAGATGATGGCGGGGCTTGTCTGGCACCGTGGTGACCCCGCTATGGGTGCTGGCTCCTTCCTGCAAGGGCTGAAGATGCAGCCAGTCCTCGCTGTCCCAGAGGCTGTGGAGGCAGAGGGTCTGCTGTGTCCCCAGGTTGCACCTTGGCTTGGCACCGGCCGCCCTTGTTCTGGGGAGTCCTCGGAGCCTGCACCTGCTAATAATGACCAGGGCGGTGACCGATCTGCCTCCGTCGGAGCAGCCTGGGTATTCAAACTTTTAAGGGGGCCAGTGCCTTGGCGCTTGATAAATGGCAGCTGAGCGGTGTGTGCCAGGCGCTGACTGCCAAGCCTGGGAAGCGTGGCGGAGAGCCAAGCCCGGGGGGTACCACTTTCAGTCCAAAACAAGGCGGGGCCCCCTGGGCTTGGCAGCTGGTTCTGAAGAGGAGGGAGGTGATGTTGGTCAGACCTCCTGTGTGCCGCGTGGTTTCCTCTTTTACGTGGCTACATCTTTGCCGCAGCCCTGCAGGGGAACAAGGCGGTTGCAGGTGGTGCCTTTTTATAGAGAGGGAAGCAGAGGGCTGTGGCCTCTCTGAGGTCGCCCGGCCTGTGAGTAGCAGAGCTGGGGTTTTCCAGAACCTGTGCCTTTGCCGGCGAGGCCAGGGGTGTCCAGACAGGATTTAAGGAGCCAGAAAGCAGCCTCCCCAGGGGACGCCTGGAAAGGGCTGCGTTTGCACGCGTAGCCGCGTTCTTTGTGCTTTGGAAGCAAGAATCCACCTCTGCCACAGCAGCCGCCTCCCCCTAGAATCCAAAGCTGGTAGCCACCACCAGCACATCCCTGTGCTTCCATAGGAGCTTCCTTGGAGTCCAGGAAAATCCCAGGTGCCGCCTCCTGAGGCCCCTTCCATGGTGGCAGAGACACCCTGTCCCCGTCTCTAGGGTCTGGATGTGACCAGTCCCCACTCATGGGCCTGAGCAACTGACTACCTGCCAAGACCCTGCTCAATGAACCGGTTTAGCAGAGCGCCTCCTTCTCCGGGAAGCCCTCCTGGACCACCCTCCCGACCCCAGTGGCTGGCTCTTCCTCCTCCAAGCTCCCACAGACCTGATCGCAGCTGCTTCCATTATGGAATGCTGCGCATCAACCAGCACCTTTAACCTTCGGCAAGACCTTGTGGGCAGGGTGGATATAATCCCCGCTTTACAGATAAGGAAATTGAGGTGCAAAGATCAGAGGAAACTGCCAGGTTGGGAACCCGCCGCGACCCAGGTAGCTCTGTCCTGCAACTGCTGGCTTGTGTGTCTGTGTCTCCAGGGCTGTGAGCTGGCTGAGGGCCACAGTCACCCCTGGTGGGAGCCCAGGGACACCGCACGGGGCCTGTGGAAGCAGCCCTCTCATTGTGCAGAAGACACAAGCCAAGACTTGGATGGCCACACAGCCTGTTGGCTGGAGTCCTGATGGAGGCTGGGTCTCCTGGGTCCCGACCCAGGACGAGGGGGCTGGGGAGGGGGGCGGCCTCCACGTGGTTAGGTGTGGAGCTGGGCCTGCCTGTTCGGCTATGACGAGGGCCGGGTGGGCTCACAGGTGCCGGGGGCGCTGTTCAATCCCCTCGGCCCCAGGGCCCCCGGCCTTTGTGCACCGTCAGCCCCTCTTTGGGCCCCCGTGGGCCTCCCAGCCCCAGCCTGGAGGCACCACCTCTCCGCAGCGGCCGCCCCGCCTCCCCAAACCTTCGTCTTCTCACCTGCCCAGTGACAAGGGGACACGCAGCCCTCCCTCCGGGACTATGACGAGGAGGGTGGAGGCTGTCCGGAGGGTGCCGCCTCGCTGGGGTGACCACGGAGCCAGGCCCCGGTGCACAGGATGACAACTTGGTGCTCCTGGCACCAAGCAAACCGGGAGCCGGTCAGACAGGGCCCTGAGGAAGGGACCTGGCGGGAAGTGGGCCTGCGGAGCAGAGACGGCCCCTGGAGCCTGCCTGACAAGCAGGGGACAGCCAGCCACTCTCCCGCCGCCCATGTCCTCCTTCCTTTGAAACCAGAGCACCATCTGCAGGAGCATGTGGGCCGCTTCCTCGGCTGAGCCCCCTCGGCGGCGCTGGGAGAAGTGCCGGCGGCCGGCTTCAGAAATCCGCACCAGGAACTCGGGCTCTGTCTGCCCGCCCGCTCTCGGCACCGGCCCAGGAGGCCGCGGCAGGCTGCCAGCGCTTCCCCATCAATGGCTTCGCCGCCGGGACGCCATGGCGACACCCCAGGGGCTGGACCAATGGATATTTTGGCCTCCAAATTAATAAGCCATTGTTTTGTTTCCCTCGCTTTCCTCTCCTTTCTTTCTTAAGCGGGATTTGCGTCCTGTGGGCGGGCAGAGGAGGGGAGTGGATCCCGGTTATTTACCCACTCCCCGCTCTGTTTGGCCTTTCCGGCTGACCCCGGCTCTGCGATGGAGGCCTTCGGCACGGTGCCATCCTGCCGACCAGTGCCCCTGAAGTCCAGCTGGTTTCCAGAAGCCTGAAGCCACGGCGGCAGCTCACCCTGAGTCAGAGAAAACCACCCTGCGTGTCTGAGGACGTGGGAGGACCAGTAGACGACCAGGGGCCGCCTGTGGCACTTGGAACTTGTCAGCGCGTCACGCTGTAATCAGCTCCGGGCGAGGCTGGGGTTCCAAGTCCGACACCCTAGGCTGTGCCTGGCACAGTTGGTCACGCGGTGTTTGAGCCGAGGCATGAGGACAGCCCGTGGCAACGGTCGGCACTAGGTTGTCGTGTGTTGGCAGGTGGTGAAATCAATTTAATGGGCTGTGATCAGCATTATTTTTTAAGTCAAAGTGAGTGGAACAGAATAAAACAGGCAGAAGATGTTTGAGCCCATCGCTCCTGGGAAGGGCAGGCGTCGCTTCAGGAAGCTTCTGTCAGGTGGGGGCACCTCCGCAGGCTGTGTGTGTCGCCCTTCAAGTGCACCTCCCCGGCTCGACGAGTCTGGAGCCGCTCCTGCTGCCACGGCGGGGGCAGATCGTTACCACTGCAGTTCAAGGGCCCAGGCTGGCGGACAGCTGCTGCAGCGTCTGCGGTGCCAGGGACCCCGACCACTCTGTCGCGGCACGAACCCGGCTGCTGTGCGCTGTCCCAGGTGGAGGAGGGAGGCTGGGGTCCAGGCGGCACCCAGACGGGCGCTCCCACCCAGGGATCACGCACCAAGCCCCTTGGGTGGGGTCACGCCTGCGACCGGCACCCCGCCCAGGAGGGCGGAGGGGAGTGGGGCCGAGGACGGCGTCTTTGAGGTCCGTGCTTGGCGGCAGAGGCCTGGCGAGGAGGCCAGGCGCACCGCCCCGGTGGCGCACGCCCTGGTCGGTGGTACACGCTGGGGGACAGCCTGTGAGCGTGGGTGGGAGGACGACGGCCTTCAGATGTCCAGCCTGGCCTTAGGCCGAGGGCGTGACACCCACCCGCTGCTTGCGGCTGCCTGCCTCTGGCCGCGTCCGATCTCCCGTGCGCAGTACAGGGAGGGGGCCGGGGACACGGGCCTTTGGCTCCGGGGTTTGGGAAAGGAGGATTCAGTGCGCGGCAGCTGCCACGGCCCGCTCTGCACACCAGCTGGCACCGGCCGCCCCGCCCGTTTGTCCTAACGGGCAGGCTGTCTGGGCTCCGTGCCCTGCTCGTGCCTGAGGCCTGGCACCCCCACTTCCTATGCCCTCACAGTAGTGACAGGAGAAACTGGAACTGGGACAACAACACTACTGGCCATTGCGCCATTTACTCCTAGTTGGGGTGTCAGGAGGCAGGCTTCTCCGTGGATGAGGAAGCGAGGCCCAGAGGACACAGATGTCTCGCCCAGGCCACACGGTGGGGACACAGAGGGCCAGCACCCTGTCCCCCCTCCAGGGCCATCCTGGAACCCTTCTGTCCTCACCCCTCAGATCAGTCCCACTTCCTGCTTGGGCGGGGGTCCCCTGAGCCCAGGCCTCTCCCGTTCCTCTGTCCTGAGGCTCTGAGGGGTGGGCCCTGACTCGGTTTCCCTGGCTGGCATCAGTGGGATACTTGAGCGAACGAGAGGGGCCGGGGCAGGCCCCCGGGACAGCTCAGGGAGGAGAGGGCACAGGGCCCGCGTCGGCAGGAGGAGCAGGGGCTGCGGGAGGGGGAGGGGAGGCCGCGCCGTGGGCGGCCCGCGGCCGGGTACTGCCCCCACTGGCATTTGCTGGGACGCTGTGCCAGGCCCTGAGCCTTTCTCAGTAGGTGGCCAGGGTGCCGTTAGGATCCCATCCTACAGATGAGGAAACGGAGGCCCAGAGGAGTGGGGTAACTCCCTGGCACTCTGGAGCCCAGGTCCGTATGCGACGTCCATCCCTCCACCCCAGCCCCACCCCCCACCCACCCCAGGTGCCCCCTACCACCACCAAAAACAGGCTGCCTTCCCCTCCTCCGGGCAGCGCCTGAGCTCCTGCCCGGATCAGGCTCTTCAGAGGGCGGGCGGGCGTGCTCAGGGTCACCATCTGCAGCGTCAACAACGCCCTGCATGCCCTCCGATCCTCAAAGCCCGATCGAATTTCGTTCTGCCGAGCGGGCCCCTTCTGTTGACGTCCCGTTCAGGGCCAGGCCGGGTTCCAGGTTGTGGAGCAAAAAAAAAGAGGTGGCGCTTCCCTCCTGCAGCCTGAAGCCGGAGGGCTTCCCCGCACCTGCAGGCGGCCTGGCCTGGCAGTTCCGGGCGGCTGGAGTCGGGCTGCTAAGTAACGAACCTGCAGGTCGTTGGCGCGGCCGCCAAGCACACTACCTCGGGCTGCCCACACAGAGGGATTGGCGGCCAGGGGTGCTGCCTCTGCAAACGAGGAGGAAAGGCTTGTTAAACAGAAAGCCGAGAAGTAGGGGTGAGGGGAACGGGATCATCCGTGGATCTCGCACACACTCGCGTGGCTCCGGCCGCGACCACCGCGGTACTTATTTCAAAGCAATTTAACTGATGGGACTCCCAGCTCCCCAGCCAAGAGTGTTATTAAATGAGGAACAGAGGCTGCTGGGCTGTTCATCGGCACCCAGGTCACACCCCAGCCTGCTCCGGCTCCCACCCTGCCCAGGAAGGGCTAGGGCTCTGGTTTCCCAAGCCAGGCCCCCACAGACCCCCTGCCTGGGCTGTTTCATGGGTGTGGGTCAGGGAGGGGGAGGTGACTGGCAGAGCTCGGGAGGCCAACCCTGGAGGAGGGGTGTGTTCTTGGTTTTTAGAAACTTGAGAATGGGTTTTTGCTTGGTTTTGCTTTGACCTGCCAAAGATACCAGGACCCTTATCCACCCCTTTTATTGACTAGTGGGGAAACTGAGGCCCAAGCGGGGATGGGCCCAGTCCAGGGTCCCATGGCGAGGCAGCAGACGTGGGGCTGGGAGCTGGTTCCCTCCAGCCCACCCCACTGACTGCGATTCCCTCCTGAGGGGACGTATGGGGAGCTTGGGACCATTCAGCTGGTCCCTCCTCAGGCCACACAGCCCCCCAGGTCCCGGCTCTGCCCCGTCCTAGGAACTGCTGAGGGCGTGGGGGGCCCAGTCCCTGCCCTCTGGAGCAGGCAGGTGAGAGAAGGGGGACAAACCAGGGGGCGGTCGACGTCCACTCTCCACCCTCCCCTCTGCTTGCAGGTGTTTCAGCGGCGGGAGGACGGCTCCGTGAACTTCTTCCGAGGCTGGGAGGCGTACCGGGACGGCTTCGGCAAGCTCACAGGAGAGCACTGGCTAGGTGAGGGGCCTGCTGCCTGCGGGCATGGCCTGCGCTCCCCTGAGCATCCCGAACCGCGGGGCGGGGCCGCGGGCCCTCTCCAAGCGGGTGGCCGGCTGCACCTCCCGGGCCTGGCACGCCCCGGTCGGCTCGCAGGCGCTGCGTCCAAGGGGTCCAGGACATTCCAGGTGAATGAGGTCAAAGAGCAGGAAGACATGGGACGTGCGGTTGCCCCAAGTCATGCCCCAGCTGGCTGCCGACTCCCTGGACACTTTGGCTTTTCGTGTTGGGGACACCCTGGGACCTGGTCACTGTTCTGAGTCAAGACAGATGTGGGCAGGTGCGGGATTCAGCCCCACGTACTGGGAGGGCTGGGACAACCCCCAAAATGCCCTGCCCTGGAGGTCAGCGCTCCCGCTGGGCTCCCCGCGGTCCCACGGCACTGCACGCGCTTCCCGGTGCTGGCGTAGAGAGCTTAGGTTCCTGTTCTTGTGACTACTGCTGTGTACTTACTATTTATCTGTAAACTCAGTATTTTAAATTTTGAACACCTAACACCACAGAACGGAGGTCCTATATTCCCCGGGGGGGGGGGGGGGGCGGTCGGTGTGGCTCGAGGCGACGTTTCAAGGTCTTTGGAGCTGTAATTCTCCACATTAAAGCGCACAATTCCGTGGTGTTTAGTACGTCCGCAGAGCGGTGCGGCCACCCCGCTGTCCCATCCCAGAGCGTCTCCACCCCAGCGAGAAACCCTGTGTCCCCAAGAGCAGTCGCCCCCATCGGTACTGTAACATACAGGAAGACACACTCGCGGAGCTGGGATGACACATCCCGTCCCCGGGGCGGCCTCACACGCCCATGGTCCCACCTCAGCTTCCTGAGGGCGGACATCCAGGAACCTTTCCCGGTGAGGTTGGGCGCAGCCCGGCAGGAGCGAGAGGAGGTGACAGCGAAGGTGGGAGGCGTGTGGCCAGTGGGGGCGCCCACCGGAGGGTGGGGTCCCGGGGGGGTCCAGGCACGCGCGCCCTCCCCTGCGTGTGCAGGCGCAGCTGGGTGGCGATGTGAGCCGTCGCTTGTGTCCGACCTGGGACCCCTGAGGACAGGGTCGCCTCTGTCCCGCCTCTGCTGCGTGCCCGGCCGCGCACAGCCGCCGGCCACAGGAAGCCGCACACCCCCGTGTGGACTCCGTGACCAGAGCCCCGACTGCCCGCGCACCCCCTGGGCCCGGGCCTGACACCTCAGGCCGACCCTCGAGTGGATGAGGAAACGGAGGCCAGAAAGGGTGGCCACTTGGAGTAAAGGACCCAAGTCACAAGCGTGTGTGTGTGTGTGTGTGTGTGTGTGTGTCGGGGTGGGGGAGCTGGGCGGGAGTCACACCCGGAGCCCGCCAAGCTCTGAACTGCGCCCTGAGCCGAATGCCTGAAAGCCGGGGCGGGATAGGGGCCCGGGGGGAGCTTTTAGGGGGGCAGACCCTTCCTGGTGTCCCCATCCAGGCGGCCTGCAAAGACAGGGAGAAGGTGGCGAGAGGGGGTGGGGGGACCTGTACCCGCATCACTGCCCACCCCGTGGGGCAGCGGCGGTGCCTCCACCCTCCAGGCGTCTTAATGGAAATCTATCAGCAGCCGCAGACTGTGCGGGAGGAACAGGGTCTCGATGGCTCCGGGCAGGCAGCGCCCTGTGCGGCTCCCTCCCATGGCCCCTCCACGTCTGCCACCTTCTCATCCAGGGCCCTGTCTTTTCCTATTCAGTGAGGGGAACCCTTTATGTATTAAGGGTGTTGATCTTCACCACGTGCCTGATGCGTATTTACTCCCAGTCATAATTACTGTTTGCGTCCTGGGAATCTGACACTTTTACTTAGTCAGTGCTGCCGGCCTTCCCCTTCTCACCTTCCGGGATTAGGCCCTGCCTCCCCCACCCCAGTGGCTGAACATTTCTCCTATTTTTTAAATGCTGTTTTAGCGCAATGTGTCCGGTCCGGACCTTCCATCATCGGGGAGCTCACGGGGATGGCAGTAGGAGGTTTGAGGTCTCTCCACTTTCACCCGTGGCCCCCTCTTTCTCAGCTCTGTGATTTGAACTCTGATGGGTGATGGAGTTGGAGCTCGGCTCCCCGCCTTGGACCTGGGGCAGTGGGGGCTGGGAGCATCCTGGCGGGTCACCAAGGGCTGGAGAAGGGCAGAGCGCGAAGGCCGGGGCAGAGCGAGGGCGGGAGGTGGCCCTCGCAGGATGAAGGGTGAGCTGAGTCTGGGAGGAACTCAGGGGCCTCCGCATCCCTTCGGCCCCTCCCTTGGGGCACCCTGCCCGGGGCCCCTCGCGGGCACCGTGGTGCAGAGTCAGGAGCCCAGCGAGGCTTAGCCCGAAGGAGCGGTGAGCTAGTTGGGCGCCAGCAGCCGTCCCGCGGTCGGGGGGAAGGACTCTTCCAGCATCCCCACTGGGCTGGCCTCCCGCCCTATTCCTGGATCCGGTTACTTGCCCTGGGCAGCAACCGGGTAGGAGCAAGGAGTCTGGGCACATCTGCCTGGGTTCACACCCCAGCTCTGCCGCCGGCCAGCTGTGTGAGCTGGCCTGCCTCCCCAGCCCCTGTGCCCCGTTTCCTCACCAACCTGGAGAAATGGGGATAATAATCGCGCCTGCCGCGCTGGCCGCGCCAGCTGCAGCCATGGGGGTATCTGCGCAATGCGCCCGGCACTGTACTAAGCGCTGCCTGGGGACTCCTCCATGAAACTGGGCTCATTCTAACTCCATGGGGTTCGTTAATCCACGCGAAGTGCTCAGCACAGCGCCCGGCCTCTGTGAGTGCCATCCAGGCAGCGGCTGTGGTCACTGTTGCCCACCGCCTGCCCAGGAGAGTTTGGGGAGCCCTCTGGCCCCCCCATCAACCCGCTCCCTGAGGCCCAGAGAGGGGAAGGGGCTCGCGCAGGAAGCCCAGCCCAGGGCCGAGTGGAGAGAGCCAGGCAGACGAGCGCCTCGGGGGGCCACAGCCCGTCCTCCCTGGGTCCCGGGCGAGGAAGGCGGGGGTGCAGGGAGGCACCGGGAAGGTCAGTAGCTCTCCTTCCCTCTGGCACTGGACCATGCGGCCAAGGGTCCCCCGGGCTGGATGGGGAAGGGTCGCACAGCCTTCATGCCTGTTAGCATGCGCACGCGGACCCACACGCAGGTGGGGGTGCCCAGCAAAGCAGGCAGGAGGGAGGGAGGCTGATGAGCCATTGCTGGGTGCTGATAACTTGTAAGGCGTTTAATTAAATGGCCTCTTCATCAAGAGGTGATCACACGAGCAGGGAAGCACCTTGGGTGCGTGTGGTGGGGGACAGGGAGGCCCAGGGGGACGCCAGCAAAGGCCCATGAGGGCTGGGGGGCGCGCAGGGGGAGAGGGCGTGGGGCGGGGGTTGTGCGTGTGCGTGTTGTGGGGGGACAGAGTCAGGCCCTGGAGGCAGCAGGAGACGCGAGCACCCCCTTGCTGTCGTCAGCCACAAACTTAGCCCCTGTTTCTCCCTGGTTCTCTCTGGGAGCCCCCTTCTAAGCCCCCCAACCCCTGCGCTCTCTCCCCCCCGTCCAGGGCTCAAAAGGCTGCACATGCTGACGGCGCAGGCGGCCTACGAGCTGCACGTGGACCTGGAGGACTTCGACAACGGCACAGCCTACGCCCGCTACGGGAACTTCGGCGTGGGCCTGTTCTCGGTGGACCCCGAGGAGGACGGCTTCCCGCTCACGGTGGCTGACTACTCGGGCACCGCAGGTAGGGCCCTGGCTGCGGGGTGCGCGGTCCTGGTGGCCACCGGTCCTGCGCGGAGGGCTTCTCCCCTTCCCCACCAAGTCCCCCCGCCCCCCGGTCCCCACCTCAGCGCCCCGCGCCAGCTGGGCCTGGAGGGTTGGCTTTCTGCGCAGAGGAGCCCGCAGCCTGCAAAGGGGCACCCGGGGTTTGGGTTCTACTGCGCATCTAAAGCGGGGTGGCCAAGCCCCTCCAGGCTGGGCTTCTCCTCCCCGGCAGAGGCAAGAAAATAAGGGAGCGCGTGAAATGGCTGGGGGGAGGGGGAGACCGCCTAGACCCAGGGACAGGCACGGGACCCCCAGGGGTCCTGCACGGGCACCGTGGTGTGCTGGGGCCGGTGTGTGTGCATCGGCGTGTGTCCGCGGGGCGGCATGTGTGTGCCTGTGTGTGCCTTCACGCCTGCGGCCGTGCCCCCGAGTGCACACTCGCGTGTGTGCCCGCACAGGGGACTCCCTCCTGAAGCACAGCGGCATGAGGTTCACCACCAAGGACCGTGACAGCGACCACTCAGAGAACAACTGCGCTGCCTTCTACCGTGGCGCCTGGTGGTACCGCAACTGCCACACGTCCAACCTCAACGGGCAGTACCTGCGCGGCGCGCACGCCTCCTACGCCGATGGCGTCGAGTGGTCCTCCTGGACCGGCTGGCAGTACTCGCTCAAGTTCTCCGAGATGAAGATCCGGCCTGTCCGCGAGGACCGCTAGGCTGGCCCCGCTCCCCGTCCGCCCCCACCGCCCTCCCTCCGCCCCCCACGCCCACGCACTTCTGCTTGTCGCCCGCCCGCCTGCCTGCGCCTGGCTGGCTCGCTCTTGCGTTGGCGGGCGGACCAGGCCAACCGCAACACTAAGCCCTGGGGCAGATGAGATCCCACATCCCCTTCACACCGTCCCCACTCGGTTTGCCTCTGATGGGGGGCGGGCAAACGACCCCAAGTCCTACCTGCCCAGACTTTGGCTCTGGGGCTGTCTTCTGCCGCTCGCTCCCGGCATCCCCTGCACTTTGTCGGTCCAAACCTCTGGCGTTCTGCGGGCACAGGGCAGGGGGGACAGCCCCCCGGAAGCCCCTCCCGCAGGCAGAGTCAGGTCTGAAGCCGGCCTCCTCGGGTCCTCCCGACGCCCCTCCCTCGCTTCCGCGCTGCCTGGAGACCCCTCCCCTCCCCCAGGGGCCCCCGGAGCAGCCGTGCCCCCAGGCCAGGCTGCGGCTTCCGGGCCTGCCAGGACTCGCAACCCCAGGTGGGGCTGGTTCCCCGAAGTCCCCACACACCCTACAGGGCCTCGCAGGTCCCCAGTGCCCTTGGCTGCTATGCCCAGCCTCACTCTGTTCTCCTGCTTGTGAGAGGAGGGGTCAGACCCCAAACCACTGGTCTGGGCGTGGCCAGAGAGGGCCTCTTGGTCCCCTGGGCGGCGCGAGGCCTGCTGCACCCCCCGCTTCCCAAGGTGCCAGGGTCCTGAGGCTCCCTAGGGGCAGGCCTGGAGGAGTTTGGTGGCTATTACCCTGTCCGTCCTCGCAGAGCCAGCGTCTCAGCGGGGAGGCCGACCCCTGCCGCTGACTGTTCCTGCTGCCACCGGGTCAGGGGAAGGGGGGCCTCACCCGGCCAGTGGGGGAGACAGGCCCGGGCCGGCACTCAGAGACATTTCCTCACCGAAGCCCTGAACGCCCAGCGTGCTCCTGTTGCCCCTCCCTCCCCAACAGGAACCCCAAAGGTTCCAAGGTCAGTGGTCAGGGAAGGCAGGGCTGGGAGGCCTGACCTTAACCTCCTGCTCCACGACCTTGGTGCCCTGACGCATTTGCTGTCAGAACCAAGTTCAGGGTACTTTTCCAAGTTCCCACCTGTGGGTGCCTGATGAGGGTTCTTTGGGGGGCCGGAAGCCAGCTGGGGAGCGTCCCCTCCTCCAGCAGGACGCCTCTACAGGATGCCTGGGGTGGGCACATGGGGAGAGGGGCTCGTTCTCCCTGCCCCTCCCACCAGTCTGTGCTTCAGTGACAAGTCGCAGTAGCCAGGGCAGCAGCAAGGCCTGGAGTGCCACCAGCCCGCCCAGTGACCGGGCCGGCCCCCTCCAGCTCCGCCTGGCAGTCGGCGCTCGGCAAAGATTTACTGGACATGTGCTCTAGGCCACGGCCTGCCCTGGGTGCCGGACAAGACCAAGTCCCCGCCCTCTTGGCGCTTGGATCGAAGCAGAGATGGCCAAGGAACGGGCGCTTACGGCCCAGAGTGACCGGGTCAGGGACGGGAGCAGCCCAGGTGCAGGCAGGACGGCGGGTGGGGCATGTACGGGGACCACACATGGCCAGCCCCAGGCCCGAGCGGGCTTCCGCTGCCAGCCTTGCAGAGCCAGCTCCGTTTAGGAGGCGTCCAGGGCTTTCTGATCAGCCATCAAACAAACTCCTCGTGAATGCGCCGCTCAGGGGGCTCCGGTGCCCCGTGCCACAGCGTGGGCCTCACAGGGGCAGGCGAAGACGGCCTTCAGGGGCCGGTCCCGCTGCCAGCCCAGGCGGGGCACCGCCGGGGGACAGGGCCGGACCAAACGCTGGCTAAGTGAGCACAGAGCCCACCATGGTGGGGACGGCTAGGCCAGCACGCCCTGCCTGAAGGGCACCCCTGCAGGGGCTGGTGCTGAGCCCAGGCGGGCCCCGCGCACCAGGAGGCTGCCGGGAGCAAGGCTGGCCCCGGCCCCGGTGTCCGCGCAGGCGGCCGCCACACTGGATGGGAGTGACCGCAGGACAAAAGGGATTCTGGGAGAGCCAGCGGAGAGTGGCAGCTCCGCCGAGACCTGAGGGATGACCTGAGGGAATGTGCAAGAGGTCGCCCAGGACTGCGGGCGCTGCGCCGGAGCCCTGACCCATGGGGGTGCCTGTGGCCCTGCTGTCCCAGGTCACCTGACCAACCCCTCCCTGCTCCTCGCTCCTTTGATGAGAGGAGCCAGCAGGACGGGGGCGGTATCCTCACGGGAATCAAGACAGTGCAGGTACCCCACCCCCCACCAACTCCTCCCCACAAGCGCAGGCAGGGCCGCCTCAGCCGGGCCTCGGGCCTCGGGCCTTGTCTCCCGAACTTGGGCGCGCCCCTGAATTAGCCCGCCTGGCTGGCCACCTGAGCGCCCCGAGCCCAGAGGATGGACACGCCTGGTTTCCCCCGATGACCTCAGCAGTTAGCGGGGAATGAGGACAGTTTTGGGCAGGTCTCCAATTGCGGTTGCCCTCTACAGCCAGGTGTACATAGGTTTTATGTTTGTCTTGGGGCAGCAGCAACGTGCCAGTGCCCACCGCCTCCTGGCCCCTCCTCCCGCACTGCCACTCACCCTTGCGGGCCTCCGGCTGGGGCTGGGGACCCAAAGGCTGGGGGCCCTGTCACCCAGGATTCAAAGGGTTAGCGAGGTGTGGCGGCAGGCAGCGCCAGCTGCACCTGCCACGCTGGGGGGAGGGGGAGGGCAGGAGGGGGTGTCTGCTGACTGCGGAGGGGGACAGAGGGGGGACTGCAAACTCTGTCCTGCGGAGTCTGAGGAGCAACGTGCTGGCAGGAGGACACAGGAGACACACTGAACCCAGAACAAAGGACACCAGGTCTCAGTCCGAGTGGCTAAGGCCTCCCCGGGGCCTCAGTTCTTCACCTGCTTGCAGGGAGGACTGTCCCCAGTCCCCGAGGGGACCAGGAAGCTGGCAGGACCGGACACACCTGGGGGCTGAGCGCGGCCCTGGGTGGGATTTGGGGGAGTGGGCAGCGGGGGGCCGGCCCTGACCCAGGCCTGGCCGCAGGAGGCTGGCTGGGCAGGAGCGTGGGGGCCCGCAGGGCTGCCGCGGACACGGCTTGGGGTGAGTGGGCGCCGATCTGGGCCGAGAGCACCTGGCGTTGTGTGTGTTCCTGTCTCCAATAAAGTCTCGTGGTGACGCGGCTGGGGCCTCACCTTGCACCCGGCTCAGCACCCGCAGGTAGCACAACGTGGCCAGACACCCGGTTCCAGGATGGCCCCCACTATTTCCCAGAGAGCCTTATGCCCGAGGCGCTGGGCGTTGGGGGTGAGCCTGGGCCACTCCACCTGTGCCCACCAAGGTCCCCAGGGTGACAGGTTGTCCCTGCGGGTCCCTTGTGGCTAGACTCCAGAGGAGTTGCGGGTCTTTATTAAGAACAGCCCCTAATGGCTATTTATCCATAAAACCAACTTGAGGCTTAAGGATGAAACAGTCCCCTGAGCTTATTTAACAAAATCCAGTACTTACCGAGTGCCCACGGTGGAGACCCCGTGTGGGTCCAGGCCTCGAGCTCACTGTGCGCCAGCGTGTGTGGCACACAGAGGCCGCCGCCATCCGTCCTTGCAGTGTGGCGAGGACTCCAGTCCCCTCTGCAGCGTCCGCGGCCAACAGGCACACAGCCCTGCTCACTCAGGCCACTCTGCCGGGCCCACGGGAAGCCGAGGGTGGGCCCGGCCACTGGAAGTGACCATGCCCATCTGCCTTCCCACAGGCCACAGGGGACAGCCTTGCCCGCCTTGGCCCCTCCCCCGCAGCTCCATGGCTGTCCCCTCATCAGGAAGCTGCTCTGCCTCAGTTCTTGGGGGCGTGGAGGGGGGGACGGCCGACTGGCGAGACTCAGTGAGTTCAGTCACAGTGGGGTTCTCAGGGCTGAAAAGGGTGCTTGCGGCGCAGCCACAAATAGGGCCTAACAGGAAGGAGGGGCAGTTCCCACGGGGAGGCCCAGGCCCATGCCCACGGAGAGGGCACCGTCGGGGCTCTCAGACACCGGCAGCAGCCGGCCCCGGTTGCAGGGGTACCGCGCCACCGCCCCGCCTCCCCCAGCAGCTCACGGCCCCCGGGATGTGGGCACTGCTGTCACCCCCGGTCAGGTGGAGAGACGGAGGCGCGGAAAGCGGCGGGAGTTGTCGGAGGCCACAGCTGGCACGCGCCGAGCGGGTGTGGAACCCGGTTCTCGGGCTCACTTGGTGCTGAAGAGGGAGGGGTGTCCGAGAGGCGATCGAGGCATTGGCTCAGCAGCACGGGCCGTCGCCCCCGCAGTCCTGCCCTCGCTCGGGCTCGGCCCACAATTTCAGAAGCAAGGCCAAGCTGATGGGCAGCTTGGACGTCCTGGGACGTGGCCCTGACCCCCCTCCAGCACGGCTTCCCGGGGAACCTCACACAGGGGCTTCCAGCCTGAGCGTGGGCGGGCAGGCGGGCCCTCCCCCCCGCCTCCCTCTCCCATCGCCAGGGCCCCCCCGTTCACCGAGCCATGAGGAGGCTTTGTTGCCGGACGCTGACCGGGCGGGACCCCAGTGTCCTCGGAGGCCCAGCTGCAGCCCAACCACGTGCCACTGCTGGAGAAGGCCCTGAGTCTCCACGGTGGCAGGAGCTGTCACAGTTGTCTCCACCTTCCCTGGCTGGTCAAGAGTGGGGGGCTCATTCCCTGGAAGGATCCCAGAGGCTTTGAGGAGCCCAGGAAGTGCACAGGAAAACACGCTTTCAGGCCAGGTGTTCTGGGGGCACCTGGGAAAACCCCAGAGCTGCTAAGTTTGGCACCAAATCCAACATCAGACTTGACTCCAGGCCCCCTACCGAGGGTGGGGGCTGGGCTCAGGAACCAGTGGCCACATGGGGGCCTCCTGATACTCTTTCCCCAACCTGGGCTCCCCCTGGAACCCATGCCCAAAGCTCTGGACTTTCAGTGGTCACTTCCCAGAGTTCCCAGCCCTAGTCCTGAAAGGGACCCCAGGCAAGTGTCTGCTGTCACAGCAGAACCTTTTCCCGGAGCCCCATGCGGCCCACAGCCTGGGGGCGCTTTTCTCCTCAGGGCCGGACCCCAGGTTGCCCTCCCCACCCTCCGCAGCTGCCGCGGGGGACCGGGGCGCAGAAAGGGCCAGCGTCTGGCCCAGGGCCGCACGGCATGTTAGCAGGCGGTGCCCACCGTTAACCAGCACCCAGTGCCACAACCAACGGGCGCCAGGTAGGGAGACCAGGTGACGACGCTGCACCACCTGTCACGTGCACGCAGCCCCCTCCCCCACGCAGCCCCTCCTTTCCCGCACGGGCAGAGGCACTGAGCCAGGCAGCGGGGGTACCGGGGGAGGGCCTGGGCGGGCTGGAGGGGAGGCCGCTTGGGCCGGGGGCTCTGGGCCCCCGCACCCCCTCCCGTGGGAAGCAGGCATCCCACTGCCCGGCGCACGGCTCCGGAGGTGGTCAGCTGTGGCCCCGGACATCGGCTCACCCGACGGAGTGGGAGGCCACCGCCATTTTCACGGCTGTCTGAATTCCTGAGCCCGCGGGAGCGGTCACGCCAGCCAGGCAGTCGGCGTGTACGGTGGGTCCGGCAAAGGCAGGATCGCTCGGCTTGTTAAGGGGGGGGGGCGCCAATGCCCCCTCTGAAGGACTTGGAGGCCGGTGCCCCTGATTCAGATAATGATGTTGCCGGCTCCCCGCCAACGAGGCGGGCCTCGGGTAAAGGGCAGCCGCCGGCCCCTCCTCAGACCACATCCTCTGTTGGGTCTTTCATCCGTGCAACCAGCGCTGCCCCCTCCTTCACCACCGACGTCCCCAATGGAATCCCAGACTCAGGAATGTATAGCAATCAGGGCGCCCACTGGGCGGGCGGCCTGTATAAAGCAGGGAGAGCCCGGGAGCCGCGTCTCCTGGCCCGGAGTCCAGAGGAGCCTGCCCAGCCCGGCCGGGGGCCCTGCAGCCCTCCTGGGGAGCAGGCCCGCAGCGCGGTGAGTACGGCCGCTCCACACCCCGCAGGAACCCCACGCAGGCCCTCCTCCAGGTCGGGAGCCGGGCAGAGGCAGCGACGGGGCTGGGGCGGCCCAGGGAGGCGAGGCCGGCCCCGCATCCTGCAGCCCAAAGCAGCGCGTTGGCCAGAGCTGCCCTCCAGGGCTCGGCCGCTGGTCTTCCAGCCTGTGTGCCTCTTGCCACATCCTGGGTGTCGGGGCTTCAAAATCCAGACTCGTGCTGGGGCCCAATTTTAGGGGGCAAGTGTCCCCAGATTCCACTAGGTTCTCACCCCCTAAAGGTGAGAAGGGCCACCTCCTTCTGTGCACGAAGATGTCCCCTTCCAGGAGACCCAGAGGCCCTCCCCAAGTGGGTTCATCCACCAGATGGGACCTCCCCGGACCTCAACCAGCTGTCCCTTCCCCACAGGCCCGAAGGAGGGGCTTCCCCGAGGCAGGCGAGAGGTGGCTCCAGCCCCGGGGGGCGGGGGGTTGGTGGGGAGGAGAGGAGCCTAGGAGGGAGGAGGGCTGGCCTTGGGTAGAGACGGGGGCTGCTGCTGCGAGTTCTGTAAAGCTCTGCGGCTGAGTTTATGCTGGAACGTCTTCAAGGGAGCCCATTCTGGAGAGAGCTGGGAGGGGGCCATCTTCCCCAGAACCAGCTCTTCATTCCAGCCTGTCTCCTCAGAAGGGCCCCGGTGCCCTGTGGTCGCTACCAAAGAGGCTTCCTTGGCGAAGGAACGAGCCTCGTCCTGACGCAGGGGCACGTTGGGAGGCTCTAGTCCGGGTTTCGATCCACCGCGGATCGCCGTCCCCGTAGCAACTCGAGCCAGGCCGTCACCCCTGAGCCTGCCCCCTGGCTGCCACAGAGAAAGCTGAGACCCTGGGCAAGCCACCTGCTGGTGGCTGTCGCCCCCACAAACACGGGCGCTACCTCCTAGGTAGGGGGGGGGCGGTAAGGACAGTACCAGGCGCGGACGGAGAACAACGCCCCCAGGCCGGCAGAGGTACAACTCTGTCTCCACTGTGTGGCTGCATGGCCGACGCGCAACCTCTTAGCCTTTCGGACAGTTCTCTTGGTGAAAAAAGGGGAGCAGCAGTGCCTGAAGTCAGGTTTCTTGTGATGGTGAAGGGGGGACCAGCGGCCCCCCGGCCACGGTTACATGCTCTTTCCGGGTGGGTCCCAGGTTAGACCACGTTCACCCAGGATCTGTTTCCAGCTTTTGGGAGCAGTGCGTTTCCATACCAGAGAGGCATCGGCAGAGGGTCCCAGCTAAACAGCGTAGCCAGACCTATTTATTATCAAGCTGAACACTGAGAGCGAGCAGTGCTATTAACTTTCTCCCGTGGCTCCAAGATGATATGGCCCCAGAGTCAATAATTATAACAAGAGAAGAATGAACCCGAATTTGCCCATCTCTCCCGGGGCTGCCTATGTGTTGCTGTAAGCCGTTCCGGCAGCAGTGGGATTAGACCTTAAGCCGCTGCGGCCATCAAATCCGGGGACTGCAGGAGAGGGAGAACCAGCTCCTGTGTCTGCTCAGGAAGCACAGGCCTGGTCCCCCAGTGCAGCGACACTTCCTCGTGCTGCGTGCAAGCTGGGCGTGCAAGCTGGGCGCGGCTGTTTCCCCAGCTTACACCGCTGCTGGCTGCGCAGGCCCTGGGAATAGGTGACTAGTGTCGTGCCTGGCCCCTGTGGGCAGCCTCTAACCTCTTCCTCTCCCCTCTGGACCAGATGATAAGCCCTTACTTCCTGACCTGCCTCCTCCTGCTGCCGCTGGGCACCTGCTTTCCTCTACTGCACAGAGATGAGCCCGTGGACGCCAGGGGTGGCTTCAAGAGCAAAGCAAGCTGCGCGGACCTGGCGGGGGGACACCAAGCCCGCCCCCCGTGGGGGCCCTCTCCGTGGCTGAGCGCTGCACGCCCACACGCCCTGCCTGCCACGGCCAAGGAGCCGAGCAGGGTGTGTGCTGGCCTCAGGCGTCGGTTTGGGAGGCAGAATGACAGCAGCAGGGCCGCTGGCTTCCTCCCGGCTGATGGCAAGACGGCCAGCAGCCTGCTGGGGACCCTGGCCAAGGAACTCAACGGCTACAACAGGAAGAAGGGCGGCTTCCACTTCCGCTTTGGCCGGCGGTGAAGGGGCCAGGGCATCCTGGGCGGGGTTTCTCCCCAGGCCTGGCCCCCCACCTCAAAGACCCTGAGTAGGCGTGGGTATTATTAGAACGAATGATTAGCCGTAGGATTGGCTAGGCGGGTGCCTACTTTTGATTTCCAGCTTTGCTGAAGCAAAAACCTGGGCGGTGTCCAACAGGTGACCCAAAACAAGCTGTCCCGGTGAGTAAGAAAATGCCAGTCATTTGTAGCGGCCCCTCCCTGTGGTCTGGTTCTGAGCAGCCCTCGCGCGGAGCCGCGGGCCCCGCTGGTCATGAACTTGAGCGGGCAGTGGGCTGTGCCAGCTCCGAGCCAAGGTTAGGCAGCCTGCGTGACGACAGTGGGGAGACCAGGGTTTTGACGGTCTCCGTGGGGACATCTATAGCTGACATCTAAAACGCCACTGGTGACTGAGAGAGTCCCGCTGGGGACAGAGCAAGGCTCTGAGAGGTAAAAATGAAAACCACAGTCTTGTTCTCCACCCCATTAACACAAGATGCCTCCAGCAAGAACACCCCGCTGCGGCGTCGAGCCCACGCCCTCCCGACAGCTGCCCTTCTCGGCAGCACAGGGTTTGCCGTCTCGTGGGAGATCAATGAGAAGTACACGCGTGCGGTAGCAAGGCTGTATCGCAAGTGTTGGGAGTACGAAACATGATGTGTGGATCTTTTGAAATAAAGTGGTAACGCCTGCAAATGCTAACGGAAAGCTCGCCTGCCTCTTGCCTATGGGCCCCCATGTGCCCCGGGAACTTCGCTCCCCTGGGATTCAGGGGCCTTAGGTTTAGGGAGGTGGAAACTGTGCTGCAAGAACCTCACGCCTCTCCCAGGACCCCCTTAATTGGCTAGTGGTAAACACCCGTGGTCAGAGGTATAGGGAGACACACACAGGACGCGCTTCTGCCCTGCACTCGACGGCCCCTCCTTGGTGCTCTCAGAGCGAACGGCATTCCGAGAACGCCCCCTACCTGGAGGAAGCCAGCGCTCGGGCTGGCTGCAGGCGGGGGCGAGGCTGAGCGCCCCGCAAACGCCGCACTGGGGCGCCCTGCACCCCGCCCTGTGTCAGACGCGGCGGCCTGACGCTTCTCACTCCCAGGCTGCTTCAACTGCTGAGATGAGAACCTCTATTGATGTTACTATGGCAACATCCCCCCTCCTCCTCTGGAGCTGCCACTCGCCCCTGTTCACAATTGAATAATTTTCCATTGAGCTGTCACAATTAATTGGTGGATTTTTATTAGCCTTTTAGAACCACCCAGGGCTGGGCCCCGCTTGCCACCCTGGAGCATTTCAGCGTTTGCCAGTCTATTAGTGACTTACATTCCTCAGTGGCAGCTCTCAGTCCTTGGCAGCCTGGAAGCCCCCTCATTAAGGGGCGTGCAGAGAGAGCTGAGTCGCAGAGCCAGGCTGACTGGCGAGAACCGGGGTAAACGAGACGGGTGCACAGGAGCGGGACCACCACCGCAGGAGGCAGTGAGGTGCCCTCTCCTGGAGCTCCGCCCCGCTTTTCCGCAGCACCGCTGCACACGCGCCCTGACACAGCACATGGCACACATGCCGTGACGGGGAGCAGACAGAGCTTGGGGGCACACCATGCTCTCTGTCCTCCACCACAGCCTGAGAGGGTGCTGCAGGAGTCCGCCTGCTAACCTCACGGTCTGAAGGGGATGGAACATGCCCCCTGGTCTTTGTCTGTTGGTACCAGAGGTAAACACAGCCCTCCAGCGGTGGAGGGCAAACCTCAAGAAACAAGCCCACGTGCCTGTCTGTCAAGGACAGCTCTGGCACTGGGAATCTGTCACAGGGTCGCCAGGTGAGACATGGACGGTTCCAGCCCAGGCTGGCTCACCCCAGTGTGTGCTCATTTCCACTGTGCTAAGGTGGGGGCGGGGAGACAGCAACCTGGATCACCCCTCCGCCAGTTCCTTCACGCGCACAAAGGGACATGCTCATGAATGGCCAGGTGAAACAGGCCACGAGTCAACGGCAGAGGAACTGAACTTCACCTGCCAATTCCTACTCTTAGAATAGGTGACTGTCTTTAAAAAAAAAGAACAAAAAAAGGCCACCCCCTAGGTCACAAATGATAAGACTCGGCGGTCACCCAGGCTGACACACATGTGTGCGGCCCTGGCTGGGTGTTAACTGAGTCGGATTAGGCTGACCTCGATGGGGAAACCGGAGGTGAAGGGGAGCAGGAGCCCCAAAGGCACGGAGAGCCTGCCATTAGGCTTTCATCATTAAACAAGCATCAGCAGAGCTATTCTTTCCAGTTGCATTCGAGCTCAACCGCCCTGAAAATCGGAACACGCGAACTGCTAGGCGCGTTGATCTGTGAACTCCACTCCCGCGCCCTTTGGCTCAATCTTCTCTTTAACCCTGGCCCACTCTCAACCCCACCGGCTGTCAAGGGTGGGTGCCTCCACGCTGCCCAACAGCCCCTGCTCTTTCCAGATCAGTGAAGGCGAGGCTCGCCCACACCCTTTTGCTCGGGAGGCAGAGTAAGCCCCCTGGGCGGCTGGGTCTGCTCCACGGAGTGGCGGCGCCCTCTCCGCCGCAGCAGGCGCCCAGGGCGGCTGGCAACGCTTGCGGTTACTTAAAACACAAGTCTTCATCTTGGGTGTAGATCTAAAGGTTTTTAGCTATTGAACTGGATGGGGAATAGTTCTCTCGTTTTCCTACGTGTTTGAAATATTAATAAACATGCTTAAAGAAAAACAGAGGCTCATGGGGGCAGCAAGCCATTAGGCAGCTGCTGTAGAGGACAAGGAGCCAAACTGGCCCCAGCGCCACAGATGCTGCATGACACGTTCCACGGCAGAGCCAGCCCCAGCACGCTGTGGCAGCCCTCTGCGCCGGGAGCCTTGCTCACGGTGCTGGGGGACCACCAGGGATGAGGGCAGGCGCGGGCAGGGACGCCGTGCTTGGCCAGTCTGGTCCCACCTCATGTCTTCTGTGCCATGGCAATGTTTAGAAATTGGTTTTCCCAGAGCACTCAATTTGGGAACACCTCCTGTAAAGAACCGTTCCCCGAGAAGCTGGGTGATGCTAGTTCTTCGCTTCTCTTCCACGGTGGAGGGTGGAGCCTGGCCCTGGAGCACGTCTCCACTAGTCACGCTGTGGCCATCTGTGCTGTCAAAACATTGGTCCCGGCACAGCAGCTGTAAGCGGCACATGCTGTGTGACCTTGGGCAAGCTGCTTCCCGTCTCGGAGCCGCCACCTTCCTCACCCATCAGTAAGGACAGTGACAGAACCGCCCTCATTTAAAAAAAATAAAAAAAAAAAAGGTGTGAAAGCCGCAACTGGTACTGCAGAATGCACGTGTAAGCAGCTGAAAGTGCTCACGTGAGCTGGGATTTTTAAGTAAGTTTTCACTGGAACATAACACATTGAAATGTGCTCCAATTTGGTGTACGTACAGCTTGATGTGTTTTCACCAAGCAATGCCCCCATGGGCCAGCTCCACTCGGACTGAGAAACAATACTGCCTGCTCCCTGGAGCGCCCTTTGCCCTCCCACTCCGTCACCCTCCATCCTGACTCCCAACACCATACCTGGACTGGCTGTGCCTTTTTCAATAAAGATCGGCTGCTTCTGCGCCTATCCCATCTGTGAGGTTCACTCAGATGGTGCTGTGGCAACACATGGTTCACTCTCATTGCTCTGGAATACTCCATCACGTGGGCATACCACAATGAACTTACCCTTTCTTCCACTGATGGCATGTGCATTGCTTTCGGGGCTTGCTTTTTAAACCACTGACATCTTAGGCTCATGTTTCATGATGGCGCTATTCACAGCACTGGCCTTTCTGGCGGGGCTGGTCCTGGGGGCTCCTTGGTTCTGGACCTTGAGACTGCTGCACGCGCACGTATGTGTATTTTTTCAGGGGCTAGAGCCAGGGCACATTAAGTTCTCAAGGGGCTCTGTGACCTTTCAACAAAGTTTAGGAACTATTGTCCTAGAATGGCTAGACCCAAGTTTGACTCTGGGTGACATGCACGGAAGACAGTTTGGGACAAGGATCCGACGACACACCCTGCCTAAGAGGCTGCTGTGTAGACTCCGTGACCAGTCCCCGTCTGACAGGAAGGAAGCGGCCGTGCCTTCCCTTCGGCCGTCCCTATCATCATGCCACGCCTTCTTTCAGACTTGAGAGGTGTCATTCAAGGGAAGAGCCTGCTACCCATGGAAAAGCCCACACTTCAGAGAGCTGGTGTCCAGGACGGTTCAACCACTAACAGGCTCTGTGGCCTGGGCCTCGGTCTTGGCCTGGGAAGTGAGGGGGAAGAGGCCTGCCCTCTGGCACCGCCTGCAGCTGCTCGGTCTGCGCGTGCGCAGGTGGACTCCAGCAAACCCGCCCCAGGCAGCACCTTCACCTCTGTCACTGGGCACGCCGCCCACCTTGCTGCTGAGGTCTCTGGTGAAGAGGCTTCGCTGAACTGCACTCCTCACTAGGCTGTGGCGAGCAGGATCTGTATCCCCTGACAAGGCTGCTGGCTTAATAAGTATCATTATCACAGGGCGCTCCTCACTTCCCTGACTTCCACTTCCCCAGCTGTCAGCTGTCGTCAAATAGAGACCCAGACAAGGAAACGTCAGCACCGCCCCCACAGGCCCCTGGCTAGGGGTGGGGAGGGGGCGAGGCAGGGCCCGGGATGGCATTTCCATCCCCTCGCAGGCCAGCGCGCCCTGCTTCTCCTCCTCCGCAGAGGATGGTACTGGGCACGATGAACACAAGCCGGGGCGCTTCAGGGGTGGAGGGCAGTGGCCGAGATTCAAGGGTAGAGAACGCGCGAGCCCCAGTGGAGGGGTTCCCTCTCTCTGGCCGGCCAGGAACCAGGACGGGACGTCCTCCCCACCGCAGTGAGTCTGCGGTGGCCTGACAGTCGGCACGGCCCTTGGGCCGGTCCTCTTTGCCCGTGCCCGTCCGAACTGGCCCGTCCGATGGCACTGCTCATGCTCAGTGCTGCTACAGCAGCTGAGCTGCTGGCAAGGAAGTGTCCAGGACGCAGGAAGGGCTTGCGACGAGGGCAGGGAAAGTGCCTGTGAGTGGCTGATGGTGACACAGGGTTCAGGATCCTGCTGCGGTCCTGCCCTTCTCTGTCCTATAAAACCCAACACGGAGCGCCCAGCCCGTCAGCAAAGGAGGATGCCCGCCCTCCCGACACGGAGCATGGCCCTGAACCACGGGGGGAGTCACAGACCAAAGACATCCGCCCAAGTTCTAATGTTGTAAACATTTATTTAAAAAATACTACTAAGGAGAGACGTGGATTCAAAAAACATATAGTCATATACAGAAACAAAATGTACTGGACCAAAAAAAAAAAAAAAAGAGAGGAGGACCGTAGGCATTTAAGGGAGGGGCGTGGAAAACTATTTACATGTCATTTATAAAAGAGCAAGTCTACAAGAGTGTAATACGAAGGTATAAATGCAAAATATAGTGGCACGTCGTGTGGAGAGGAGACCAGTACCTCACAGAAGCGGGGCGAGGAGCCGGGCGGGGCTGGTTTGCTTCATCTGCAAGGCCGCTGGCGGTGTTCCAGCCCCCCCTCAGCCTGTGTGACACAGCAGTCTGGGGGGGCGCAGAGGTGATGTGCTGTGAGAACAGTATCACACGGTCCGGAGAAATAAAATACAAGTTTAGGCGGATAGGGCAAAACGGGGCCTGGGTGAGGTCACGGGTGTGAGAAGGCGTGGGGAGAAGGTGGTTCTCTCCTGGTTCCCCCCAGGGTTGCTTCTGGGCCTGGAGTAAGATGCAGGCTGATGCCTGCCCACTCTTCAGTAGCTGCTCTAGGTCAAGGTCAAGGAGACCTGGGCCCCTGCCCCATAAGCCTGGTCCTGGGCAGCCCAGGGGAAGGGTACGCCAGGGCCTGCTCTTCGAGACACTTTCTGGGGTTTCATTTCTTTGTGAATTTCTTCTTCCCTGATGGCTAAGTGTTGCTCGTGGTAATTAAATAAGATGTCCGTCCACAAGGGAGCATCCAACACTGGTGCGGCTTCGGCGCCCCGGCCCTTTCCTTCCTGTTAGCGTGCTGGTGCCCGCTGTCTGCACCGGGGACGGCGGGATGAAGGCAGAGCTGGGCCAGGCTTCAAGAACACCCAAAACCTGAAACCGGCTTGTCCCAGAGAAAAGAGCCCTGCAAGACCCCACTTTGTCTCAGGGTAGTTGGTACACGGGAGGTGAAGGAGGGCGGTCAGGGACCAAGATCACCTGGAAGTTCCACTGGAAGGCAACATGGGGCCCACGGAGGAGCTACCCAGGCCCAGCCCCGGCCCACCGCAGCACCGGCTCTTCACCTAACAAGCCCCCCGCCCCGCCAACGCTGTGTGCTGGGCCCCGACTCTGCCACCCTTAACCCTTAGGCTCACTCTCCAGCGTTGGCTGTGCACGTCACAGGTGAGCAAGGAACTGGGCTGCGGGGACCTGCAGGGGAAAATGACAGGACATTCTCCCACACCATGGGCCTCCTCAGTCCACCCCCTTCCTGGGACCCAAAGGCCGGCTGGTGTTCGCACCCTGTTTTGCCCCCCACCCCCAAATGAGAGCTGTCCCTCACACGGGGAGAGGTGCGGGCACCGGCCCTGGCAGCAGTGGAGGGCAGCGACCGGGGGGCGGAGCTTGCCAGGGCGTCGTTCTGGGAATGTCTTAAGCGCAGGAAGCACAGGGAGGATGAGGGCACAAGCTCCCTCAGCAGGGGAGTGAAGGTGACAGTACCCTGGTGACGTGGCTCCTGTTCAGACCACTCGTTCTTGGGGAAAATGGAGAAGGCAGGGCCAGGGGACACCCTCCAGGAAGGACTGCAGCGAGGAGAAGCGCAGCCATCTTCCCAGCTGGCCTGAGGGCTCAGTCTTGAAGCCCCTGTGGGGAGCCGGCCGCGTGCCCATGGCATCCACCGCGTGGGCTCCGCAGACAGAACTCAGGATGGGGAGGGCTCGGCGAGCCGGGCCGAGGAGGAGGAAAGTGCAGAGGACGGCTGGTGCGCAGTGTAGGTGGCAGGGCTGCGCCCCACGGTGGCCCTCAGCTCTGGGGCGAGGTCCCGCGCACTGGTCCTGTGTCAGCCACCATCGCGGGCGCAGGGGGCCCTCACGCACTACAGGCGGCTCCGGCTGGCCTGACGCCTGGCTTCTGCTACCTCTGTACGATGTCACTGATCTCCTTCACAGAACTGAGGAGTTTGCTGAAGTCCTGAGGGGCCGCCAGGCCACTCCCCGCCGTTGCCGGGCAGATCTGAAGCTCCCGGAGATTGTTCTCCAGCTTGTTGATGGCCTCGCGGAAGGCGAACTTGTTCCTCATTTGCTGGATGGAGTCCACGTAGCTGACGCAGAACGTGTAGAGGTTTTTGCCGGCTTCTAGCACAGCGCTGTGGCTGGCCATCTGCTCGGAGTTCCTGGAGATGGCCAGGCACAGGGCCTCGGTGCTGTCCAGAACCACGCCCTTGGTGATGGCGCCACTGGCGATACGCTCAGGAGGTTGGCGGGTTTTCCGAAGAGACACGCGGGTCGATATGAGAGGGATGAAGGCGGTGGAGGATGGCTGGTCCCCCGCCAGGGCAGAGGATGCTGATGGCAAAGCGGAGGGAGTGGGGGCTGGGCTGGTTGGGGTCCCCACTGGCTTGGTGGATGACTGAGGCTTTGGCATGGCCGGGAGTACAGGCTTTTTGATGCCCTCGCCCAGCTGGCTAGGTTTGGCAGCATCGCTGTTTATGGCATCCCCAACCGCAGCCACGGGTTTTGCCTTCCCCCCGGCGCCTGCCTCCCCAGCTGCTTCCTGGCTGGGGCTTGGAGAGGGCTTCCCGGCTTTCCCGACAGAGGCTGGCGGCGGGGGCGGTGGGGCCGGCTTGAGCCTGGACAACTTCCCTTTGTCTCTCCCAGGGGACTCAGAGGAGGGCTTGTGCCTCCTCATTCTGGACTCCTCGGAGGGGGCCTTGATAGTCCCTCCAGAAGCGCCCAGCCCTGCTCTGCCAGTGGAGGGCGCTGGCTCAGCAGCAGCAGGCGTCCCCAAGGCACTGGACCTCCCAGCCTCTTCCTTGTGGGGCAGAGCAGCGGCAGGAGCCACCACCTGCCTACGGAGGAGTTTTGGAGTCAGGCTGGGAGGGCTGGAGCCTGGACTGGACTCTGCCGCATCCCTGAAGACCTCATCAGCCACATCCTCCGTCTTTTTCACCAGCCTGGGTGGGGGCGTCACTGTGCCTCTGGTCACCTGGTCAGACCTGTTCTCGCTCGCCCGCTTCCGAGGCAGAGCTGGCTTCTCACTTTTGTGCCCTCCAAACGTGGATGAGTCAAACTGTCTTCCCGTGGACGGCAGATCCCGAGGCAGCGTGACTGACCTCCACTCTGCGTCCTTGGCCCCGTGGGGCACGCAGGAAGCAGAGCAGGACCTCAGGAAGCGCTTGCTGGCGCTGCTGCCACTCTCCTCCTCGCCGGCTGCTAAGCGGCTGGTGGTCAGCGTGCTGGACTTTTTCCATAGGTGGGGAGACCGGAAGCCTGCGCCCCCTGACTCCCGAAAGGCTCCATTGGGGACACCGGCCCCACTGCTGGGCTTTGGGGACTTGGCTGGCTCGGCGGTGTCCAAGGATGTGAGAGCAGGCACCCCGTTGCTGACCTCACGGCCCTCTTCCTCCCCGGCCCCCTTGCGCTCTGGCTGGCCGTCCATCTCCCGGAAGGAGCTGCTGCGTTTAGGGGGGGTCGGGGCTGTTTTCTTCTTCTTCTTGATCAAGGCGCTAAACAAGTTGGTCTTTTTGTCTTTGGGGAGGAGGCGTTCATCTTCGTTTAGGCCACCATCCTGGGGACCGCGTTCCTTTCGAGGGAGCAATGGGGACACGGCAGGCTCGTGGTCCGGACCATCTGAAACACATTGGAAAAGTTTGGCAGGCCCGGCTCGAGGCTCCTGGACACGCCAGGAACTGCAAGCTGCTGCCCGCTCTCCACCAGGCCCGGGCTCTGGACTCAGAGGCGCCTGGTGCGAGCGCCCGCTCTGCCCCTCACCAGCCCTGCGGCCCAGGCGAGTTACTTCTGTCTGCCCCTCCTCAGCTTTCTCATCTATAAAACAGAGGGTACTAAAACCAATCCACAGCATTGCTGGAGAATGTCATGCAATAATGAACGTGGAGCATTTGTCACAGCTCTTGGAGCATCATTTCTCAATAACTATTGTCACTGCTGTTCATGTTCTTACTAGGAGAAACTTAGGTCTCTCCCCTTGAAGGCAGCAAAACAAAAAGCCAGGCTGCCCCAGCCCCTGCATCCCTGCACTGGCTGCCCCCACCATCTGGTCAGTGATGGCCAAGACAAGGCTGGGCAAAGGGTCAGACCCGTGACTCCCAGACCAGCCAGGGGGTTGAGGCTCTTACGTGGTGTGATCTAGAGGCGAAGGGACACATCTATGGGGTGCAGCGGCAGCGGGCTATCATGCTTGGGCAACAAGAAGGGGTGACTTTAAAATTTTTAAACGGACACTCTTTAAATATGAATAGGAGCTTCTCAGCAATCTTTCTAGTGTTGCCCAGCTCCCTGGTGGCAAATGACAGATTTCTCCCTGTGGGGAAGCTGCAGAGAGAGGTTTGCTGTCACCCCCGTCAGAACAGAGGCACAGGGACATTTACCAGGACACCAGGCAGCATGCAGGACATGCAGTGCAGGGAAAGCCAAGGATCTCCCCGCTGCACACCGACGGGGGAAGGAGACGAGGTAAAATACAAACGAACTGCGCACCGCCACCTGGCACTCGGGGCTCGCCATGAGATCACGCCTCGACACCCGCCCGGGGAGCACCGACGGGCAGAAACGGACACGGCCGCCTGCCGCTGCCGCTGCACAAGCCCCAAGTTCCCACAGCAGCTCCTCCCCACGGCTCATCTACCTGATACCACGACTAACAGAGAAGGACAGAGGGTCCAAGGTGCTGGACAGTGTAGGCGCCATGGTCTCTAAGGTGGGCTGAGCACGATGATCAGGGGTATGGAAAGAAAACGCTGTGATTTGGGTCTATTTCTTACATAAACTTTTAAGTGCATATTTGATAATATACTTAATACAGTCATGCAGTAGTGCACGCATATTATTTTATATATATACGCCACACATTCAACTTTTTAATATAGGTATATAATTAAAAAACTGTGAATCATGGCTCTATAGATTCTGCTGTGGCAAAACCTCCCGTAATTCTGGCTCTGTCCTGCCCCCCCCTTAGTCGGTGGCCCACCAGGGCATCCCCTGCACACCAGACGCTGGCCCGTCTCCGACACTCATCCGCTGGTCTGCAGTGGGGCTCGAACTTCTGGGGTTTGCAGGGCAGGGAACAACTGCTCCATCAAGAGCAGCCTGGCTCTGAATGGCACCGGGCACACAGGAGGCACCGGATCCGACTGCTGACCAAGTCGTGACCCCCGCTGAGCCACTGCCACCTCCCCCGCACTCCTCAGACAGCACACCTGCTCCAGGCCACCCCTCTGAGTGACACAGGAGGAGGTGGGCTCCTCTCTCGGGTCTCATAAGCACCTCTGAGCTGCTGAAGCCAGCGGCTCCTAATTATTCCCCGGGAGTGGAGTGCTGTGGGGAGCGGAGAGCCTTCTCTTCAACGGTGGACGACTAATGTGGGATTTGCCTGCCCGTCTGTGCAGGTTCCACGCGCTGCTCCCCATGCACCGCCCTGGCCCGGGCCTCCGGCGGGGGCCCGGCGGGGACCTACCGGGCTCTCCCAGGCCCTTGGAGTGCGGCGGCTCAGGCACATCGGCAGAGTCCTTGTGTTCCGTGGCTCTCCTGGAGGTTCTCATCTTGGTGGGCAGCTCTGGCGCCTGCAGCAAAGAGCTGGCAACTGCTCGCATGCCTTTCTTCCCCAGCTCCTTTTCCACCTCTAAAGGCCACCAGAAACAAACAAAAACACCCCCCAAAATCAGTGCCATCAGTAGTGGTGTCATTTCGGTATGTTGGTTTTCTTTTTCTTTTTAAAATGATAATGATCATCCACACATATTTATAGAAAAGAGGTACAAGTGATAAAGAAACAACACTTAGTAGTTTCAGAGTCCTGCAGGGATACCAAAGGCTGAGAGCGCCACACTCGACCCCTCTGCCTGGCTTTCGGGCCTCAGATTGCTTGTCAGCCCATGTGCTTACCCACGGAAGCGGGCCGAAGGACCAGAGCTGGGGTCCCCCTCGGCTGCCCCTCCCACCCCAGCCTCTCGCCCCACCGCAGTGTCCCGAGGACGGGCACTTTACCATCTGATATGCTGGATTCCTGGAACATGGTCTCAAAGGCTTGGTGGATTTCAGCGAAGGAGGGCCGGTCAGAGGGGTTCCACTGCCAACCTGACGGATGAGACCCGAGTCAGATCACGAGGAGGCCCTGCTAACAAGTATGGAGCTAGCCATTCTTAAGGAGAAGTCTAGAAATGAAAGCATCCCACTCCTGCTACCCATCTTTTGGTGTGACAAGTTAAAGTGATGCATGCCACTGTGTTCTATTACAGACATTAAGAATTTGAAAAGACTAGATATTGGCAGGAATATGGACTGCAAAACCCCAGAGAGACGTTGACAGGCAGAACTGCATTTCAAATATATTTCTCCCATCCCTACTCCAGCAAGGGCAGAAAATTACTAAGCCAAACGGCTGGCCTTCTCTCTCACACCTACTGCCTGGTTACCAAAGCCCAAATCCTCATCAGTAAAGAAATGCTAATCAAAACAAGATTAAAATAAGGATTAAGGGCTGACCAAGCCTCGTGTTGGTGAGGATGCAGAGTCACTCACAGGCACTTCCGGTGGCATTGGTACAACCTTTTTTGGAAAACAATTTGGTAAAATCTATCAAAATGTGATAAGCACACGGGCCTCGGAGCCCCAGCACAGTGCGGAGGGGCCTGCGTGAGGGCGCGCACGCTCCCGTCTTGCTCCTAATGGCAGACTTCGCACAATGGGTCAAACCACCCAATGTTCCTCACAAGAGGGCTGGGTGGATGAATGAATCGATTAGCGGGATGCTCCACAGCCGGATAAAACCGAGCGGGGCGCAGAGGGGGAACGCCGCATCATGGACGCAGAGAGGCGGTGTGTCAGCACTGCCTGGTGCAAACAAAGTGGCAGGGGTGTGTTTATAAATATGGCGCAAGGGGGGATCCCCTCAAAAGCTGCAGTTTATTCATAAAATATTGTGTATTCTTACATGTTGAAACCTCAGTCACCTTCAAAAGACTCTCCATTTGATGCTGTACACCTTGAGTGGTTTTTCCACTGCTCAAAAATAGTTTTTGAACTTGTTGATTTTGATGCCTTTTAGTGCTTCTGCTGGTTTTTGTTTTCACCTCTTCTGCATCAGCAAAACATTTCCCTTTGAGGACTTTTTTCATCCGGGGAAACAACAAAAAAGAGTCGCTTGGGGCAAGACTGGGCGGACAGGGAGGGTGGGGCACAGGAGTCATGCTGTTTTTAGTCAAAAGCTGCTAAACACTCAATGCGGTGTGAGCAGGTGCACTTGTACTCACCCATCATGAAATGGGCAAACATGTTGAAAGAGTCTTCAAAAAAAAGAAAAAAAGAGAAAAGAAAAGAAAAGAAAAGAAAAAAAATTCACTGAGGCCAAACGCAGCCCCTCACAACGCCACCTGGTGCACTGATACAGATGGGTTCTTAGCACACTCGCCTAGTGGGGGAAATCTGTACTACAAGGCGCCCTCCCTCCAGAAGATAATTCCGGGGTTTTTCTTGTGTACCCCTCTTCCCCTGCACCGGCAAAACCGACCAGATAAACATCCCCTGGAGTGTCTACCTACTACAGCAGAATGTCTGAAGGTATGTCCAGGAATTTGTATTTATTAATAAGAAATCCAAGTTTGGTATGCATCAATCCCAATTTTGTATTCAAAAACAAACAAAAACCCTCACACACAAATACTAAGTAGAAATAAAAGTATAGAGAAACACTGAAAAAAGTCTGCAGAGTCTGTATCAACTTGTTCCATTCATTGCTCTGAAGACTGGGAATGAAGAGAGGAAATGGAATACTCGAATTGTTTACTTTCCATATACACCCCTGCAGTGGAACGTTTTACGAGCCCACTTGTAACTTTTAGAACTGGAGGCGGAAGGCTCACATGCTCGCATGAGTTCATAGACCTTCTCTGGGCAGCCTTCCGGGCGCTCCATGCGGTAGTCTTTCTCTAGCAGCTCGTACACCTGGGACAGGTCGATTCCCGGGTAAGGTGACATGCCATAGGTAGCGATCTCCCAGAGCAGTACTCCAAATGCTGAAAGAAAAGAGAATGGGAAAGGTTATTTGAAGCATGCAAGATTTAAGTATCCTGCATTTAAGACGAGTTACCTGTGTAGTAGACGTCAGAGGTCACCGCCCCCCCCAGAAGCAGGCCAGGTGCTGACATTTCGCCAGGCCCTTCATTACAGCAGCCCAGAAGGCAGCGGTCCGCCCGCTCAGCCCCATGGACTAGAACGCGCTGACGGAGAGAAGGGGCCTGGGCGATGAGCTCCTCTAGGGTCTTGGAGGTAACACGACCACCTGTCGGGAGGCCACTGCTACTGGCTCTGGGACCAACCAGCAATGTGCTGAAGACAGGCCCCCTCCTCTTTCAGGGGCATGAGATTATCTCTAAGGTCCCTTCCAGCTCTAAAAATTTCACAAAAATCTTATAAAGTCTTTCAAAGTTCTGCAGGCCCAGAGTCCAGCCTTGGAATTCCTGATCCCATTAAAGAAAGCAGAGCCGACCCCCTGGAGAAATGGGTGGCTCAGGTCTAGGGCAGGGACGGAGCTGGAAGGCCTCATCATTCCAGACAGCACGAACACCATCAGATGCTCAGGGTCTTGCCAAAAGGACCAGGAGCAACATACAGTTCCCCCCGGCCAGAGGTGGGACAACCTGAGTATCAATAAGGGAAGTAACTGTACGGATTAAAACACATCAAATATATTTAAACATGTTTTACATGTATGTATATATGTTCACTATATCACCAAAAAAACCCAATAGAAACCTAACTGGTCACCCTTGGAGAGTATCAGAAAACCAGCATGTTACTGTGAAAACCGGTGAACAACGGCACGAAAGCAGCCGCCTCCCCTGCCTCTCCTGTGTGAGCTGCACCGAGGAGCTGGACGGTAGGGGAGGGGGTTGCTTCGTAACGGAGCACCGAGCTGATAAATGAGCATGGAATAAGGGAACGAGAAAACTACTATTTGGTTACCTCTAATAAGTTAGTGGGTCTAGGCGCTGGGTATCAATAACGGCTAAGATCACAAAAAAGATAAATTTAACAATTATGTACCTACTAATGAAAAGCACAATGCTGTCTATGAAGAATTCTACACTAAAAAAAAAAAAAAAAAAAAAAAAAAAAGGTCAATCTCGATGTGATCAAGCTGTTTAGATCCAACCACCCCTCTCAGTAGGAATATTGGAGAGAGAGGAACATGTTAAATTGTCCCACATGAAAACGAGTGAAGTCCAGAGAGTGGGAACCTTTAAAGGATAAATGACAGGATTTCTTCAACAAACAAACAGCGAGAGAAATAAAGAGATGGAGAGGGAACTTACAGGTTAGAGGAATCTTAAGGAACGTACAAACTAATCACCTTGTGTAAACTGTATTTCGATCTCAATTCAAACAGACTATAAAAGTATGACTTTTATGATTCAAAGAGAAATTTGAACACTGGATGATTTGATAATATTCAAAAATTACTGTCAATTTTGGGAGGCAAGGCAATTTGGTTATGAGAATAAAAAGCCATCTTTAAGAGGCTCATTCTGAAATATTTATGGACAAACTCTGATGTTTGGGCTTTGCTTCACAATACAGGCCGGGGCACGGGCAGGACAGAGGCGGCCGGCGCACCCCGAGGCGGCGGGCAGTGCCGCTCGGCAGTGCGGCGGGGCCCGGTAGGCACCCCGTTCTTCTTCAGGGCACGCCACACTCTGCACAGTGAAAAGTTCCCTACGAAAGTGAAAATGGAAAACACTGCCCCATGAGGTTTCAGGGGCAGTATGGGTAGTGCCCTACTGAGAGCCCGAACCCGACCTCATGACACTCCCAACACGGAGGAATGTCCGGGGTCTGCCGGGTGGCCAGCTGCCCCCGCAAAGCCAAGGAGCGAACTTAGAATGAAGACAAAGATGGTTAATCCGAATTATTTTGGAAGAAAAAACTCACTTTTACTTCATTTTGGAGAGAAAGCAGGGGAGAAAGGATTTTTAAATAAAAAGAATTAGTAATGAGGGGTGGGGGAAGAAAGAGCAAAAAAGAGGTAGTGGAAAAGGAGAGAAAAAACAAACAAACAAACAAATAACCAGGAAAAGAAGCTGCGCCCTGGGTGGGCGAGGAGGGAACTGGGCGGCCCTTACCCCAGACATCGGACTTGATGGAGAATTTGTTGTAGGCCAGGCTTTCGGGCGCGGTCCACTTGATGGGGAATTTGGCCCCGGCGTGGGCTGTGTAGGTATCCCCCGTCATTAACCTGCTCAGGCCAAAATCGGCCACCTTCACCAAGTGGTTTTCCCCTACCAGGCAGTTTCGGGCAGCAAGATCTCTGGGGAAGGAAAAAGTTCATACATCAGTTCCCAGGTGGCTTTCCTGCTTGATAAATCCACCACCAAAATGGGAAAAATGGAGCCTGGTCCCCAGAAACTTACATTAACTAACCCCCTCTCCGGGAAGCACCACCCGGGCTCCCAGCATGGTGAGAGGCAGCAGAGAGAACACTGGGAGCGAGCTCCCAGGCCCTGGGACCAAACAAGGTAATTATGCTGGGCCTCGGTTACCTCATCTGTAAAATGAAAATGGTAATGACGGCGCCTGCTCCTTAGGGTTGCTGTGGTAATTAACATGTGAAGTGCTTCCACTGATGCCTAGAGAATTGTAAGCATCATCTAAGTGTCTGCTTGGTTGTCACTGCTCTGTGCCGGGGACCAGGAACACACACATGGGCCAGTCCTCGATTGTGAGCAGTTTCTATCTGAGTCGGTCTCCGCTTGTCCTATCCAGGCTTGGGAGGACAAAATAAAATGAAGCCCACAGTGTTCTTTGCCCGAATTGTGTTTCCTACTTCCCTCTTTCTTCCTGATGCTTACCCAAACATATCCTAAAACTCCTCTCCTGTGTAATCAGCTTCCTCTAGCCTCCTGATTCTACCAGGGAGGTAGGAGGGGTCTAATTTTGGTTCAAGGACATTAACCATGAAATCACAAGGCAACCAGGAATGGAAGGATGAGAAGAGGCAGCAGCTAGTGATGGCTGCATAGGACCGCTTGATCAGCAGCAATCCGAGGGAAATTAAACGCAGAAGAGTTGTGCCTAATGGGATTTTGGTACAGGGTTTTAAGTCTGCCCGAAGGAGGAGGGAAGGGGCCAGGCTGTGCAAGGCAAACCAGAAGTCAAGGAGTCACAATTCGCAGCCTCAGAGGTTCACGTTCTTGAGTGACAGGACCATCTGAATCAGGGTCTCATGGAGCACAGAAAACGTGTCTTACAAGAAACCGCCAGCATTTCACACACGCTACCCTTGCTCCTCACTGTGAAAGCTCACACGCAGGTTTCGTACTTGAATTAATTGGGTGGGAAAGGTGGCGTGGAGAACATCTTGTACAAAAGACTCCAGCAAAGCCCATCAGGCTTCATCCTGCATAGGCTGTCACTTTGCTAGGAAGCCATTTCCACCACCAAAGAATGCGAAGACCAAGATAATTGCGGCACACTTGAAGGTCAAAACACTCCAGGCTTTGTAACGGCAAGAACGCTTAATTCAGAACCGCAGGTACACAATTCTGACAACGGTGGAAGCACTGCTGAACCAGATGACAGCACGTTAAGTGGAGAATGAAATGATAATGAAGAGAACGGGGAGGCACGGAATGCAAAAACAAACCCCACGCGCTGGCTTAATACGGCAGGTCTGTGTAAACGCAACGCCCACCGCTCCCAGGAAGAGGTTACGAGGACGCGCTTCGGGCTGCGATCGTGAGGAAGGGTGCCGCTTATGACTCATGTAATATTCTGCTTGGTCCAAAGTGGTTCCAAAGTGAGATACTTCTCACCCCAGGGATTAACTGCTCTGTTGGCCAAGAGTCTAGGCCTGGCTGAGCTGGCCCTGGACACACTCCCAAAACTGGCAATGCCAGGAACCCAGTGTCTGCCTTTGCTCCCAAGCCTAACATGGCCAGCACGAGAGCGAGAGACAGAGCCAGAAGCCCTCAGAGGCCGGGGCTTCTTGCGGGGGTCCCGGGCTCAGTCCACGGCTCTGCGGGGAGGGGTGCTCAGCCGGGCTCCTACCTGTGGATGAAGTTTTTCTTCTCCAGGTACTCCATGGCGGATGAGATCTGCGTGGCCATGTACAGCAGCACCACGGCGTTCACCTCCTGCCGGTTGCACTCTCTCAGGTAGTCCAGCAGGTTCCCATAGGTCATGAACTCAGTGATTATATAGAACGGGGGCTCCCGGGTGCACACCCCTGTCAGCGAGACACGGAAGGCTTCAGGGTGCCACTCTACTCCCAGCTGAGCAAACGTCAGAAAGGACTAACACTAAAGGAAAATGCTTCTGAAATGGATGCCGGCTGTGCCCCAAAGTCATGGGCCCACTTCTAATTTGGTGAGATTATGTCCATGCGGGAGGGACATGGTCACTCTTTTCTTCCTCTCAAGCCGATGGGCTTAAACAGGGAGAGGCTGTCAGTGAGTTCAAAAGCAAAGGCCAGGCCCTCACTGACAAGCCCAAATTGCTGTTAGTTTACCCCTAAAGGATATGTCTAATGGTTATGTCTACTTACAGAATGTTTTAACCTTCAGCGAAGAAACGTTAAAAATTCTTAAGTCTCAGAAGCCAATTTGAGATTTGTGTTTCACTGCTTTTAAATATCAATTCAAAGTAATAACATTCTCTCTCCCACACCTGCTCCCCAACACACAATTTCACACAGGCCTCCTTAACCAACGGCTGACTGCTGGTCCAAGTCAGAGACCTCGCTGCGTCCAGCCATCCCCCGCTGCTTCACCGGCACCAGCGCCCCCCAGAGGGCTTCGCTGAAAGAGCCGCGCACTCACCGAGCAGCTGCACTAGGTTAGGGTGCTTGATCTCTTTCATTACTGCGGCTTCTTTCAAGAACTCTTCCACCTCCATGGTGTCCTCCTGCAGAAAGAAAAAAAAGTGATGAAATTATTTCAGCAAGGAACGTATTTCAGCAGAGAAGCACATCGTGAATGGCTGCTGCAAGCTGCAGCGTCAGCAAGGGATCATCCTGGCCAGGGAGGGCCGACTGCCACACCACCTGGACAGGTTCCACGCAGCTGAGCGCTGCCTTGCAGCGCAGAGAGCGCTCCTGCTGGTGCAGAACTTCTGAATTCTGCCCCAGGGCAACAAAGGAGACTGCTTGTTTCCACCCCCTGTGGAGTTCGCAGGGGTAAGGGAAGTGTGTACAGGCGAATGCCACAAACAAGGTACCATTTCCACTAAGGAACAGCTGGTTTTCAAGGTGTCCTAAAAATGCATAAAAAAAAAAATCACTTGAAGAACCTGAAATGTACCCGATCGAAGGGAAGAGACCCTGATGACACAAACAGACCCTGTACGACCACAGAAGACTGATGACCCGGCCGTGGCGCAAACAGAGGTGCGACCCTGCCTAAGGGCGCAGTGCCACGGGGCCCTGAGGAAATGGCCACCGCCACCTGGCAGATCAACTGCCCAGAGTCGAAAACCATCCTCACCGGCAGCTTCTCCAACACGGTCAAGGCCTCTTCGCAGCAAGCGCACAGCATCTGCACGCAGAGCGGGTGCCCAGAGCGAATGCGGCATTTCTGCGTTTCCACACACAGCCCGAGTCTAGGCCAACGAGGTTCCACAGGCGCGCCGCAAGAATTTTTAGAACATGCAACGCCTGACTATTTAGTCGGGGGCACAGACCTCTTTTCTCTTTGATTATCAAATAAAAGAATGACAACAACCAACAGAACAATAGCCATCCAGTGTGAATGAATCAAAACCATACCTATTTTTTTGGTCAGATCGGCACACAGACCAGTGTGCTGCACAATTTCAGCAGTTAGGGTGTGTGCCATGAGATGAAGGAGGCTAGAGGTTGCTGCTCCAGGCTCTGGTCCAGAGCGCCGTGACCCCTGGCCCTGTTCCACGAGAGCCTTGCTGTGACTCATGTCGGGTAAACCTCTTTTGACTTAACGAACCCACTGTCCTCAAAACAGGAAGCAGGTGGTGGTGATGGTCTGTCCGCCGAAGGAACTGGCGATGAAGGCCGTGAGGGAAGCAAGGCACCACCCCCCAAGTTTCAACACGGAGTCTGAGTTTGTCCGAAGAGAAAGCTTTCGTGGGAGACAAGGAGTGGCTTCTTGAAAACTAGCTTCCCCCAAGAGGGATGCTTTGTACGCTGCACCTGTCCCTACCGGAGACAAAGCTCTGAAGTATCCTCACTGTCGCGCTCCCCCCGGCGGCCCCAGCCCCGGCCCCGGCCCCTGAACTTAGGGAAGCCTTCCGGAGGATGGCCAGCCTTCCGCAGCGCTTTCCTGCTTTGGTCGATCGTGTTAACAGGGAAGCATGACCGGTGAGCTATGTGCCAGCCCACTATCACTTTGCTTAGGGCTCCATGCAACTGAAACCAAGAAGCAATTTACTGCTCTTTAAAAACGGTGAGCTGCTCTAAATACCAATTAAACATCACGGTCTCTGTGTTAAGCCACGTGGGGGAAAAGGGCCCGTCCTGCCGCCACCCTGCCGGCTGTTAATTCTCCAGAGTCCTCTGCTCCTTCACAGCTCGGCCGACCACACTGTCTGGGTGTGAAGTGCTCTGACTTACCAGGGTGACACCCTAATGTAAAGGCTCACATAAGGACAAGCGGCTTGCAGGATCTTGCTTGGCTAACAACATGGTCAGAAAGGAGCTCTCCTGTGAAGTCTTTCAGACACGTGGAATTTTTTTTCAATCTTAAAGCACCACATAGTAAGCCACAGGCAGTGAAATCATTTCAGAAATATCACCTGCTCTTACAGCTACTGTATCTTTTCTAAAAGAACTGTGTTCTAGATCTTGAGACTTAGGCACAAAGAGCAATACAGCTTTCGAAGCCATCCCTCTTCGCTTCTTGTCTTCTTCTCACATTCATTCCTGCACGTGCATGCACCAGTGTGGTCAGTATAAATCAATCCCCCTTTTTTCCTTTTAGGACAGTCAGTGTGAACTTATTTCCCCCTGCTGGAATCAGACCTGGTCCAACTTAGAATGTAAACTGCTAACAGCATACTGCATGCGGCTGTCCTGAACTAGAAACATCCCTGATGCTACCTCCTGTTACATTCTTTCACTTTTATTTAAAAACTTTCCATCGTCTTTTTGAAGCAAATTCTTCCACTTTCACAGTAAAATAAAAGGCACTCAGATCAGCTGGGGTGAGGGCAACACTTTGAGTAAAGGCCGTGAATCGCAGGTGTGTTACAGAGGGACAAGGGTCATGTGACCTCTCTGCACAAGGCAGGTGAACCTTTTGGCTGGTGCTGGCCAGGCTCTGCCGCTGTGGGACCGTGGTAAGTCACATACAGAAGAGGTAACGCAGAGGTTATCTGTGAACTGCTCTTTTCTCATCCACAAGAGAGAAAGCAAGGCAGCGTCCACCTCACGCACAGAGTGCCAAGTGCATGCCCAGACTGCAGCTGCGCTCCGCCCACGGACCTCCCTTCCATCACCACGGAGACGGCACGTCCCTGCTCCCGACGAGCAGGCTGGAAACACTGCCCATACAAAGGGCAGGCTGGCCCTCCAGCACTGTGGCCCTGTCTTCCTCGCAGGCACATTCTCTCAGACTCAGCGTCGCACAGGACCTTCTCGCCAGTTCCGGCTGTCTGCGCGCTGGCCTCCCCCCCAAGGGCAGGTGTTCTGTGTCACAGAAACGAACCCCTTTTTCAAAACCGCCCCCACAGCCCGCTGCTGTGGCTCAGCTCTCGGGGCTCCTGCTGCCTCCCTCTCGGCAGGGGCACCGGCCCTGGCCCAGGGCTCTCGTCTGACAGGTCGGCTTCCACGTATCTCTGGTTCTTACCCAAATTTAGGTGAGCAAGGCTACAAGGACTGGGAAGTACCATCCTTCATCCATCAGGTGGACCAGCGTCTACATGTTTAAAAACACTGGAACGGTGGGCAATTTCTGGGCTTGACTGAAGAAGGAGGTTTACACACCAGACATGGGGCTTGAAGCCCAAGCAAAAGTCCACGAGAAGCCACCCCACAGAGAAAGCCCCAGAACTCTGATCCCAAGTATGGCTGCTGCATCAAGCTCCATGGCCAGAGGAGACCCTGCTGCCAGCCCAAGTGCAGCGTAGCAATGGTGGGCCCTGAGCCGTGTGGCCCCCTCGTGAAGTCAGAGTGCCACTGTGTGGACTGTCCCATGTCAGTGCTGTCATGGAGCCTCCCTTCTCTGCTCGTTCCTGGGGCTCTCCAATAAAACCAGCTTCCTGGGGGAAAGGACAAAACTACACCCCAAACTCAACACTGAGGGCGCGGCACCCAGGCGCAGCCTCGGCGCTGCTGGTGGAGCGACACAGGCATGAGCTCCTTGGGAGGCATGTGGGAGCGTGAGCAAAGCCATGAACGCACGTGGCCCTTGATCCAGTGGGTCTGCTCGAGGGGCTGCCCCCCTGGACACTCTTCCCACCAAGGGTGCCAGCAAGGAGCACCTGTGACACTGCCGCAACAGCCAAGTGCTGGGAAGGACACAAGGTTCAAGAAGGGCCGGTGCGCACAGAGACACCGCGCCAAAAAGGGGCAGGCTCGCGGGCACTGGCAAGAAACCCCCGTCAAGTTACAACGAGTGGACAATAGAAGGTATAGAGCGATGTCTGTAACATGCTGCCATGTGGTGAAAAATAATGCACATGTGGACCATTCTGGAAAGACACAGAATTCAAAGGCGGAGGAGATGGCGTATCTTACCTATTTGAAAAATAGGTAAAGAACTGGGTACAATTTTAAGTCAATATTTTATAACAACATTATGTCTCATTATTTTAAGGGTAAATTAGTCAGTTACTTTATGATTCAATCTTAATGCCACAACTAGACAAACAGTGGTCTTTTCCAAATTACTGCAACTTTCCAAAGTTGCAATAACTTATGCAACTGTTTCACAGAAAAGGAATGACTTACTTAATCTTTGGAACATGGCTCATGTGAACCTTGGGGCTTTTTGTACTTGACAGTTGGTTCTCTTACACACATTCTGCCTATAACAAGGGTAAAAGTCAAGCCTATGACCTCCTGAATATTGCCAAAATTCAAAACTAGCAATTGGTTTGCCATCAGTGGGCCTTGGCTGTAATTCCAGTTTCCCATCCATAGGGGTCAGCCTAGTGCCTCCTTTTTAATCTGTGTCCGCTTCTGGTCCTACGCCCTGAAGGTACAGGAGCAAGGCTGCAGGGGGGTCCCATGAAGAATCGTGGTTAAAAGTAGGGTCTTGCTCCCCCTGCTGGTTAAGGGAGAGCGGGCTCTGTCCCTGAGGGGCCAGCAACACAAACCAGGCGGGACAGGGAGGGGGTGGAGGATGGACTGGGGGCCCAGGGGACCTGGCACAGAGAGGCGCTGAGCGAGCGTCTGGGCCAGAGCCACAAGGGTCTCCCAAGGAGCCTTGAAGAGAAAGGTGGATCTTGGCTAAGGCCTCTGAGAGAGGTGAGTGGGGGAGGGGAGGTGGTTTTTAAGATGCGTAACTGTGGTTTATGTATATTTTTCATGGTATATGAGGAATAAGAACCTGAGTGACAAAACAGTTGGGCTCTGGAGCAGGTTGTCTGGGCCTGGGGCCTGGCACCTGGCTCTGCCCTCCTGGCTGTGTAACTCCAGGCAAGCGACGCAACCACCCCCCCGCTGCCATCTTGTCCCCCTTGATGGCAGTAGTAACAGCGCTGCCCTTCTCTGCAGGCGGTTGTGAGGCTTAACAGATGTTATGTGCAAGGCACCCAGAACTCTGCCATGCACGTGGTAAGAGCTCAGTGTGTGTCAGCCATTACTGCCATGTAGAGCCCACGTAAAGGTCTCAACTTCCGGAGCGGAGACAAATGCTCCCAGTACTAACCCTACCCCTCTCTCTGGTCAGTGGGGCACACAGGGAGGCTTCCGTGCAGCGACAGGGAGGGGGGCCGTTCACTCAGCAGGTGCGTGGCCCGCGCTGCGGGCTGGCATCCTCTGGAAGACCATGCGTTTCCCTTTCCCTGGCTGGCACCACCCGGGGTGGCTACTCACAGAACTCCGTGCCACCAGACCCTGTAACTGGGGACCGGAGGTTAATAAGGCTCTTAGGGGAAATTACTAAAAGCATACAACACGAAGTTTAATAATACATCATTAGAGAAGCATACTCTAAAACCCCTTCTTCCGGATAACTCGGACCCACTGGGTAAGAACGCCACGGGCAGCGCCCCCAGGTCCCACGCAGTCCCTACTCTGAAACCCCCTCTTCGGCTGTTCAGAAACCACCACAGCGTCAGCTCCTCGGCTGGTTTCCCCACATGTCATGTTGTATGAGCTCCACTCATTTTTAAGTTTTCAAACAGGCCTTGCGTTAATTGAAATCTAGTGTATTTTGTATGTTTACTCTTCCTTGTTTCATTTTTGCAAATCCTGGCGAGTGTGTGGGTGGTACCTAGGCCTTTCATAAGTTCTCAGCTGGTCAAGACCCGGGGCCTCTGGGCTGGGCCCTCGACTGTGCACCAACTCCAGGCGCCACAGCACAAGCCCCTGATCTGGGAGAGGCGGGGAGTGCGGTTCAGTTCGCTCCAGGGCTCGCCACCTCGCCACCTCTGCGAAACGCAACAACTCCACCGTCCCACTCCTGTGCCACGAGCCCTCTCGTGTGACCCACGCCTCCAGGGGAACAACCAGCGCCCTCTGACCTGGCGCCCCCTCTGCCCTCCACCTGCCTCCCTGACCTCTGTTCCCTTGGCTGCCTCTTGCCCCCCCTCTAGGCCCCAGCTCCCGACTCCCTTCCTGCTCTCTTCCCGCAGAGAGGGGCTCCCCGCCCCTCCGTTCATCCCTGTGAAGGGCCACAGTGCCACACGTGTGCCTAATGTGGCCCCTTTTGCACTGCACTGCAATTACTGTCATACTCGCCTGCTTCTCCTCTCTAGACGATCTGCTACTACTAACTGGACGACCCTAACTGCCCAGATGAGCCTGAAGGAATGAACTCTGGTTCATTTTCACAATCCCATTGTTAAGCCAAGGGCTGGCAAATACAAGTGAGGAACTCAATAAATGCTTATTAATTTAAAAAAAATCTTACTTGAAAAATATCCAGGAGGCCTCAGGGTGACCCCAAATCATGCCACTACCACCCCCGCACAAGGGTCAGTTGGCCTCCTTTTGTTTCTAGGACTAAAGCATGCAACCTTTTCTCTGTATTAGCCAGGACTCATAATTTCTGTTTCACTGTGCCCGAGGGAAGGCGTCAGGGAGCGAGAACCCCTAAAAGACAGGCGTTTGGGCGGGGTCTCACTGCGTGCTCCTGACTGACTTTTGATAAGCGCACACGTGGTTGGGTCCAGTTTCCCCACTAGTGGATGTTTTGGTTCTTTTTAGCTACAGAAAGGGAGGGGCTCCCTCTCAATTTCTGTGCACATGTCAGCCTAGTTGGAGTTCACGTAGCACAAGTGAAAATACCGCAGGCCCGCACTAGGGGACACTCTCGCTATAGGAAAAGCCTGGATCACCATTTTGAAGAAGGCTGCAAATTAAAACATCTCTGGCATCCTGAAGATTTCAAATCACTTGAAAAGAAAAATCAACTACCTGAAAACTTGAAACACTATGCATTAGTTGAGAGGGTTTAACAAGGATGAAAAAGGGGAGGTAGGTGATCTGAATTAGAAGAAGCTTTAATCAGTGTTTCCTTATTTCCAGAAATCTGGACACACAGTAAAGAGAACAAGAACCTGCTAGGAACTCAATGCCACTTGCCTTTCGTATCTGCCAACAAAAATCCACAGAAACGTCAAACACATTTTGGCTAAATCTCCTTTCAAAACTTAAGGCTTTTAGTTCCCTCCTTCCCTTAACTCTCAATAGGAAGTGATTCAAATGCCACACAAACAGAACAGAAACCCACGGCTTTAAAAGACTCCTGCCATAGAACGAACACACTTCTCCAAATGACTAATCTTTTTACACCAAAAACCACAGCACTTCTCAGCTCTCGCCATATGCGGCGACACACTGCGAGGGTGAGAATGACTCAACATGTACAAAGAAACATCACAGATGACGAGAGACTGAAGAGCACCCCCCGGGACCTGCGTGCAGGAGCAGGCTACCCGGGAAGGGGCAGCCCGCACAGCGGCCGCAGCGCCTCGCGCTCACGGCGGCCCCACGCGCAGAGGCGGCGCTGCCTGGCCGCCGGCCCCGGGCCTACCTTCAAGGTCTTCACGGCCACCGTCAGGCTGTACTTCTTCCACACGCCTTCATACACCTCCCCGTACTGGCCTCCTCCCAGCTTGTGCTTCATGGTGATGTCCGTGCGCTCCATCTCCCACTTGTCGTAGTTGGGGGACACGCCGTAGACGGTGGGCTTGTTGCGCTTGGGGGCGGGGTAGTGGAGAGTGGTGATGAGCCCGTCCGCCACAGTGGAGTGATGGTGGACCAGCTCGGCCAGCGTGTTGAAGCGGCTCTCCGAGGAGACGTAGAGCTGAGGGGAACAGGGACAGCCTTCAGCGCACAAAGCAAGGGCAGACTCTCACAAGGCCGGCACCAGCTCGGCTGAGCCTTCCGTTAGCGCACGGCAAAACCTCACACAAAAGGCTCTCCACAGTGACCAAGTGCTGCGTGTGCTGTCACTTAACTTGATAAAGCAGAAAGCGGCAATAAAACGCCCCCGGGCCTTTGCCTCTGCTGCTCCCGGACTGAAACCGCTCCCCACCCCGCCTAAGCTGCACACGCCTGGTTCTCTCCAACCACCCTGAGCCCAGGGTAAACGCCCACGAGTCTTCCCTGGGCCCCCACCTCCAGCCGTCACCCAGCGCTAGTCGCGTCACCTGTCTTCTCTGCACGACACTTAGACTGAGAATTCCTGTTTTATCAGCCTGTTCAGTGTCTGTCTGCACCTGCTAGATGTCAACTTCATGAGGGCAAAGCCCTAGGCTGTCCATTGTTTTCCTGTATCCGCCACGCTAAGAGCAAGAAGTGGGCACATAACAGGTACTCAAAAATAGCTGATGGTTACATTAGTGAAGAGTAGAACTTAAAAAGTATTGCTGATTGGAAAACAAATTTTAAAAAATAATTATGCTTATTACAACCTACTCATACGACCTATAATTATATAATTATCTAGATGTGCCCAGAAGATGAAAATCACGACACAACACATGAATCTCCTTCCCATTCCTACTGCCCGGATTCGGGCCAAGCAGGAGGCGTCAGAGGCTGAGACCGCCCGCCCAGCACCATGCTCACGCGGGGCGCCCCGTGGGCGCTCTCCAGGAATGCGGCGGCCTCGGAGGGCTGCGCGAAGGCCACGTGGGCTTCCCCACCACAGGCGAGGCAAGGAGGGGCGTTCAGACACAAGGCCACGCAAGCCTCCCTGAGACGTGCGGCAGCGGCACCTGTGCCAGGAGCCCCCCATCAGGAGCTCCCACCAGCCACAGCCGAGATGGGGAGGGGGTAGGGGAAGGCGACAGAGGGCAACAGTGTGGATGGTGACAGCTGTCTTTTCCCTTCGCCACTGTTTCAGTGATGTGGTGAGGGAATCGATTCCACATTAAAATCCTCACAGAACATGTGGGCTCCAGGCACATAACTGAACCTACTGGCTCACGAAGGGCAGCCAAGATCCTGAAGGTTGAAAGAATGTGAAAATCACGACTAGGTGCCCAAATTGCAAAGATGTGGGAAGGAGGAACACAGATTTGGAAGTGATGATACCTGGGACAGGGAGAAGGAGGAACAGGATCAGTTAGCTGTAGCTGTCAAAGAAAAGCGAAGAAAAAGCCAGAAATACACAAGGCAGGGCCAAAACCGTGGCTTTTGGTAGGCTCCATTACTTTCTATATGTTGTAATATCAGATCATTAAAATATTATTAAAAAAGGAAATTAAAACAAACTTACAAGTTGATCCCTTCTATAACCCTCAACAGGGTAAATAAGATTCATTAACAAGGAGATTTTCTTTCTTTTTTTCTTTCTTTTTTTTTGCTGCTTGAGGAAATGACATGAATGAACTGTTAAAACTAAGGCAAGCCAACGGCAAACTGTGGCTTAGAGCGTTACAATCGACAATCTTTCGGTGGCAATTCTACGAAGATAAAACTCTGAGCAACCCAGGAATTGTCCAGAAGGACTCCACAGCTCTGGGAAACTTGCTCTTCTGTGAGATGGTGCTTCCGAAACGAAAGAAAGGACCTCTGAAGGTGAGGAGGCGGCCCACCAGGTGGCTCCACTCTTACTCCTGAGAGCACCGAGGAGAAACCTCCAAGCGAACCACTCCAGGGACACGCTGCGCAATGCGCACAGTGTTGGCAGGGGAAGGGGGTGAGTGAGACTGCCGAGCCTACCCTGAGCACGCACGGCCACGGATGCCAGGCCGCGGGAGGTGGGCACTACTCTTAGGCCCCACCTCTCTCTGAAAAGTCTGCCAGGTGTCCAATTACTTCACTTCAGGCTGCAGCGCCCCAAGCCCCCTTCTCCCGGGATAGCCGGGCTGACAGTGTTTTCCCTGCCAGGAGTGGTGAGGGGGGAGCAAGCCATTCCCAGAAGGCACTACTGGGATCAGGGTGCCCCTCTCCCCACCGCCCTGCAAACCCCTGGCACAGGATGGGGTAGGTCGCCCGGGAGCAAGACTCTTAACTTACCCCTCCGCCTGGGCTAGAGAGCAGTGCGCCCCAAGCCGCAGACCCTGTCCCTCCGACTGCGCAGAACGCTAAGGGCTCCCGAAGCCCTCGTTTACGGAGGGTTTATTCTTGGTCTCATCTGATCCCCTCACAGGCTCCTCGGTGAGAGATTTCAGTCATGGGGGCTTTCACTGAACAGGCAAACTTTATCTATCTCAATAATTAAACTTATAGACCCTGTGACTTCATTCATCTTTCAATATGAAATTTATATATTGACACTCATTCAATATTAAAACTACTCTCCCTTAAACGCGCTGCACAGCCGTCTTCTAACCGTCCTGGAATCTAATGGCTTCCTTCTGATTAGTTTGAGCTTCTGAGTAGCTTTTGCTAGTGAACTGAGTCGTCTCCATCAGGAATTCGTGGCATGTTCAAGGAAGAAAGTGAAATTAGCATTATGAATGGCATGTTGTTATGCTATGTAGCTGGTTCCATAAACACTCTGGGTGCTTAGCCAGGGCTGTGCCTCTTCCTGACCACGCAGGGATCGGAAAGACAGGACTTGAAGAAAACTCCACACAGCCGGCTTTCCCCCTTCCCCCAGACAGCCACACTCGCAGGCTTATCAGAGCTCAGGTCTGTGTATCTTTAGCTGCCTGAGGCCCTGGAGTCCCGCCTTGCTGTATTGTTTACCGGCTGCTCAGCCAGGAGCGCTGTTCCCGAGGGTTCTCGCATACCAGCAGCAAGCAGAACTTAGTAACTTAGCAGAGCTTAACAACGCTCTGGTCTCCTCCAAAGGGAAGGCCAGCCAGGTTTTGGCAGGCTCTGCACCGGGATGCCGGCACCTGCCGAGCCACTGCCAGGGTGTGCACACCTTAAAATTCTACAGGTTACATAGCTGGCCTATCGTGCCACTTCTGCTAAAGCTTAAGTCCAAACTCTGGTCCTGTCGACCTGAAGCTGTCAATTCAGCAGACTGAGAAAATAAATGTCAGTTGGGCACCTCTTTGAAGAAAAGACTCCGTCAAGGGCTATCAGAAATTATGAAACTTAACAGTGGCTCCCTACAGAAGTAGCTAGAGTGTAGACCCAAGTAACCAGAAGAACTGAGAACAATTAAGGCAGGGGTGGTGGGGGAAAGAATTGGTCTTTAATTCCATTATGCTGGCAGAGGATCACGGATTCTGAGGAAGCATGGAAGAACGACAACCAAGTCTGAGGGGTCTGAAGATTCTCCGGCTGTCCAGTCTCTTAGGAAAGAGCAGGGTGGCGTGGCCCTGGGCTCACTGGCCGCGACTGCTGCTGGGAGCTCAGGAACAGGGAGCGACGTAACCCAGAGCCAGGAGGGTAAGACAGAAAGAAATCCTCTGGCGCCTTAGACAAGAATCTTTGAAATTCAGTTGTTTTCTAAAGATCAGCTAATTTGAAAATAAGAATTAAACTTATTCAACCCCAGCCTGTTCCTCCTACCAACCTTACATTTTCCCCTTAGAAATCCAGACAGGGCCCAGGCCTCTGTGGCTCAGTGGGCTGTCTTCGTAGGCTGTAAGACCGTGGTTCGATTCCTGGTCAGGGCACAGGTCTCGGTTGCAGGTTCAGTCCCCAGTCGGAGCACGTATGAGGCAGCTGATCATTGTTTCTCTCACATCCCTGTCCCTCTCTCTCCCGGCCCTCCTTCCCCTCTTTCTCTAAAACCAAAGGGCATGTCCTCAGGTGAGGATAAAAAGAAACCCAGAAAGGACTGCATCAAAGCTCCGCCATGGGCAGGTTAGTTAATGCTGAGCCACACTGTCTCGTGTGTCCCTGCGGTATCTCCATTCTGACGCTGTTCCACTCATTTCAGGAAAAGGATCCCACCTGCGCAGCCCCCTCAAGAGCAGCCCTGAGAGAGGAGCCTCCGCAGAAGGACCACCTGATGGCCCGGTGGGCCCAGAGGTCTCTGGACAGCTGGAGGGAGTGTCTCTGCTAGGGACGGAGAAGGGCAAAAGGCCCAGGACACTTGGCGGAGCTGCCCAGGGGTGGGGAGTGCCAATCACATGAGTTTCCAGCGCTCTGCCCAGAGCGAAGGGAACCCCTGGCGCACACCAGCTCTGCGACAGAGGGACTGTCTTCCTCATCAGCGGACTCTCTAATTCTACAAATCTTGCATCCCACACACCAACCTTGCTCTCTTCGAGGTATCCCATTAGATCCTGCCTGCAAGGATGCCAACTAAACAGCTCCAGGCAAACAGACTACCTGTTCAGCACAAATCCCAACGGACGACTGTGCGCGGCACGGCTTGCCCTGGATGAACGGCACAGGTGGGGAGCAACTCGGCAGTCGCAGGAAGGAGCCTCCGCGAGGCGTGCTCTGCCGCTCCACTGCGTGAAAAAGGCACCCCTGCGGTCTGAAGGCGAGGTTTCAAAGGGCCTGCCCCTGGAATACATCCTACAGCATGGAGGGACCTTGCTCCGCATCCGGGATAAGAACAGTGCCCCCAAAAGCAAGCTGATAAGCCCAAGCTCTCATCACACACGAACAGCAGACAAAGCTGTCTGTCGCACAAACCGCTGTGCTGGTATAAAGACATCTCCCACGATGGGAAGCCTCAGATATTGTCAACAGGACTTTGGCCATTAACGCATGCGGAAAACAGGTGAGAACATTACACACACACACACACACACACACACACACACACACACGTCTGTCCAGAAAGATATAGCCATGTAGTATGAAAAATAGAGGCATTTATTGAAGATACAAGAAACACTGTGTATAAGACAATGATACCTCGGTCCCCTTCAAAGTTGATGCCTTGGGACCTCACACAGTTCTCTCAGCATCTCTTCCATTGTTCAAAACACTCTGCAAAACCCTTTGTGGGAGTCGCCATTAGCTGCCCCATCAGTATTTTCCTGAATCTTATCGATGGTCTGAACTCTCTTCCTTTCAAAGGTGATTTCGGTTTTGGGAAAAGCCAGATGTCGCAGGGTGTCAAATCTGGGCTGTAGCGGGGCTGAGTCACCTGGGTGATTTGATGTTTTGCCAAAAAACGCTGCATGAGACGATGCACTGAGTGGTCACACTGTCATGATGAGGCTGCCAGTCTCCAGCTGCCCACAGCTGCGGCCATTTTCGTCACACTGCATCTCTCAACAGCTGAAAACCCTTGAGGTAGTACTCCCTGTTAATTGTTTGGCCTGAAGGGGCGTACTCAGGATGGACAACACCCTCCCAATCAAAAAACACAGTTAACATGGTGTTGGTCTCGCTGCGACTTTGCCACGCCTTCTTCAGGCGAGGAGAACCAGGCGGCTTCCATCGGGGCACTGGGCCTTCGTTTCTGGAGCAGAGCTCTAGACCAACAATTCATCTCTGGTTATGAGCTGACCCTCTTGAGGAAATCTGGTTCACTGGGAGCAGATTGAATCAAGTCATTAGCAACTACTCCATGATGTGCCTTCTGCTCTGGAATGAATTTTGCCACAACACGTTTTATGCCAAGATCCTGCGTCAAAATCTCGGACATGGTAGTTTTTGGAATCCCCAGATCAGCCCCTAGTTCTCGCACTGTCAGTCGTCGATCTGTTGACTGCAGCCCGAACACGTTCAACACCCTCAGGTGCTCTGCTTGTTGCAGGCCTTCTAGAACATGGATCAGTTTCAATAGACTCTCGACCATCTTTGAAACGTTTGTGCCACACTTTTATTTACATTGCACTCACTGCACCGTCCCCGAAAGCCTTCTGATTCATCCGAATAGTTTCCAGAGGAATGTTCAAGCTTAACACAAAATTTGATGCAGATTCGTTGCTCTACTTGCTCAATCATTTTGATTGCGATGGCCACACACTACGCATGCTCACTCAACAGCGTCTACTTCCCCCACTGACTGACTAGTACAGTGAAGTCGTCATTGTTCACACATGTGCGTTCCAGTCCGTTCTCCTTGGCTGCCAGGTTACAGCGATGTCACGCAAACTGTTCTCATTGTATTAACAATGGCTGGACTTTTCTGGACAGAACACACACACACACACACACACACACACACACACACACAGAGTACATCTGTATGGGTGGTACAAATGAATGTGTGAGGATAATTATAAAAATGCTAAAAAGATTAAGAAGAGGGGACTAGTCCTACCAGATATTAAAACATTATAAGCCATAACAAATTAAAAGTTTGGTATTGGCACATGTATAGACAGACCAATGGAAGAGAAGAGATAGAGATCAACAGACCTAAATACATACACAGATTTGGTGTATTTCAAATACATAAGTAAGGGAAGATGAACTTAGTAAATGGCATAGGGATCACTCAAAATATAACACATGCATATTAAACAAGATACAAGCTTTACCAATCAGCGAGAGATGCTTTTACAATTTTGATAATATGCTGCCAATGAGGATGAGGAAAAACATGCATTCTCGTATGCTGCTGGTAAGAAAACAAAGTTGTACAATTTCCACAGAAGGTAACTGCGCGATGATGACACACATTTAAATGCATGTCACCTTCCATCATCAGCTCTAGCAACTGAGCCTGCACACACCCCACTGTACACAAAGATGTGCGCAACGTGTTTCCAAACTGCAGGGCGTGGCTTGCTAGGGTGTCTATGAAATCAATTTAGTGGATTATGACCTGAATTTTTCAAAAAATGAAACAGAACAGAATGGAATACAAAATATCAGAGTGCTCTGCATATAATAAGCGTAAGCAGTCCTGGCTGGTGTGGCTCAGTGGATTGAGTGCCAGCCTGTGAACCACAGGGTTGCTGGTTTGATTCCCAGTTCGGGCACAGGCCAGGTCCCCACTGGGGGGGGGTGTAAAAGAGGAAACCACACATTGATGTTTCTCTCCCTCTCTTTCTCCCCCCACCATCTAAAAAGAAAACAAATATTTTTTAAAAAAGAAAGACAGAAAAGAGTAAGCAGGATTGGCCCTGGCCAGGTAGGTCAGTTGGTCAGAGCAACATCCCAATATGCCACGGTTGCGGGTTCAATCCTCCTTCCGGGCACATGTAAGAATCAACCAGTGAATGCATAAATAAGTGGACAACAAATCACTATTTCTCTCAAATCAATACATAAAATTTTTTTTTAAAAAAAGGCGGGTTAGGCAGTGTTTCACAACCCTCCTGTTACTAAAGTTAGCATTGGGTGGTGATGTAAAATGTTTTTTTTACAGCAGACAGAGATTATTTTAAAAGGTTTCAAAGCCACCTTATAAGAGCATTACTTATAACAGCATAAGACTGGAAACAACCCAAACACCCACCAGCAGGGGCCGCTTAAATAGGCGACGGTCCAGCCATGCCAGGCATCATTCAGAATCAGACGACTCTGAATGCGCTGCCATAAGCCATCTCCAAAATACATCATCAGGCAGGAAAAGCAAGATGCAGAACAGTGTGTAGTATGCAACATTTGGTTTTTTAAAAACGTAATCATATACACACTGGCTTAACTCCGGAAGAGACTGGCCACAGTAGTTGCCTCTGGGCAGGGTACCAATTAGGAGACAGAATACTTTTCACTCTAATTCATTTGCTTTTCAAACCCTGTGCATGTATCAGACATTATCACAGAACACACACACCATCTGGACCCACCCTCACAGCCCACCTATCTACACCCTCCACGACAGTGCAGTGCGGCAGAGGGGACAGCGGTCACAGCCCCGTTCCATCAGCCATTCGCTGTGCAACCCTGGGCCGGAGCAGCATCCCTCTACGCATCCATTCCTTCCTGCGAAAAAGCAGCTCACAGAAATATTGTCCTAAAGATGGAGGTGTAAGCGAGAGGAAGATGGAAAAATGCCTCAGTGCAGAGTAGGAGCTCAGTAAACGTTCATGCCTCCCTTCCCTTCATGGAGGCTTAAGGACCCTTTACATGAAGATCACAAAACCACATAGTATACCCACTCCATTATAAAACTACAGTTTGGGTTCGGAAACCTATGGGTATGATGTGGTCCCATTTTTGTATAAAAACTGTGTATACACACAGACACACACACTTTCTCACAATTTTTTCCACAGGAAGGAGGCCTGTATCAGACTTATACTGGGGAGGTGATATTAAGGTAGCTTTTCACTTTTAAAATATCCGTCTTTGTCTGATTTTTTTCTCACTGAGGATAAATTACTATCTTAAGAGATTTTTTACAAAGAGTCTTACTGTGAGAGGTATGTATGAAACCCAACAGATACTCCACCTATCTCAGGAAACTGCTAAGAACAAAAGTCTGGCAGGACATTCAGAGGACCACGCCAGCCCTTGCAACATCACGTGATCGGTCCTCCACAGAGGGCCTTTCCTAAGGCGGATGGAATGATGCCTGCTGTTTGCTTGGAAGCTTCTTCAAACATCGTCTTGGTTGAGTTTTGCTGCAGTAACTTACCAACCCAGCAACAGGGCCTCTGGGTTCTCCTGGCCGAAGACTTCCCCTGCCCCGCCCCCACTCCTCAGCTCCCCCGAGCAGGGTCCCTACCTTGCCATCGGAAGCAGTGTTGATCCTGTAGTGGTACACCCTCCCTTCGTATCTCAGTGAGATGGACCTCTGCCCGGGGCTGCTCTCGCTCTCCCGCACTAGGAAGCTGCCATTGATCCCACTGCTCAGCAGGTACTCAGCAGCGTTGCGGGATACCGGCCCATGGTACCAGGAATGCTTCTCCAGGCTGTTGACGGGCGTGATGTAGTTGCTCGGGACCCACCCTTGGCCATTTTTGGTTTGGGCTTCACACCATTCCCCATTGTGATTGTAGCCTAAGACCCGGAGCTTCTCACCTTAGAATGAAAGAACCATACCACACACATCAGCTTCATAATTCGCTCATTCTCACTTTGTCTCTTAGATTACTAAAAATCTCCAAATTCTTAAGTAACTACTTCATGTTAATGAGTCCACATAAATATATGCATTTTAAAATGTATAACAGTACATTGAACATAAAGCTTCCTGTTTGTACTGAGTACAGAGATAAACATATAGCATCAGTTTTTTAAAATCTATGTTTGTTTACTCAAGTGTTCCTAATATAAGGGAGCTTTGGTTGAAAATTTTTTCTTTAAAAAAAAAAAAAAGGAAGTGTTTTCAGTGTTTGCTTCAGGTGTCTTTTCCAGTATAAAATAATGAAAGCGCTGCTTTTGTGAAGGACTACTGTACAGAAACTCATCTCAAAAAGGCGAGTCTCTTATAAAGACACTGCTCTATTTTTTGATCTCTCTCTGCATTACAACTAAATCTGCTTTTCTAATCAACAAAGGGGTGAACAATCAAGCCACAGTCCCCCCCAGTCGCTGTGCTTGCAACCACCGCCTGCCGCCCACGGCCCTTGTACCTTTAGTTATGCTTAGAGTGTTATCCCCGCTGGCCACAAAATCGTACAGCGCAACGAAGAGGTTGGGGTCATTTTCACTGGGACCAGCGAGGAGGTTTTCTTTGGAGTTCCAACGAGCCGCTTCGCTCAGACCTTGCGGCTCGAAGTCGGATGCTACGGGCCTTTGGAGGGCTTCTGGAAGAGGAAGGGGGAAAGGAAAGAAAGAAAGACGAGAATTAAGAAAAAAAATTACTTTTATTCTCAGGAGCAAAAAAAAAAAAAAAAAAAAGTCTGTTATTTCCAAAATTATACATTCCTGATTTATTTTGTTTCTTAACACCTGTGTACATTATATATTAATAAAAAATGGACTCTTCCTTTCCCAAATCTGGTGAAAAACACTAAGTATTTGCATTCCAAGGTTGTGTTTCCAAATAGTTTAAGCCTTTTAAATTTGTTTATTCAAAATGAATTCATTCAGAAATGGAAACAGTCCATCCTCGTAAGTCTGCCACTGCTTATATTATAAAATGGAAGGAAAGTTTCTTGCTTTGAAAGATTTAAAAATGTATCAGTTAACATATGCACATAATTTAAAATCAAATAGTACAGAGGGACTTATGATGCAAGATCAACATTTTCCATCCACTCTCTATGCCTAGAGACAATAGCTACTTCTTGGGGATCATTTCCATCTCCCTAAACATAAGCTCCATCGCTCTAACCCCTGCGGCGCCCTGCCCCGCCATCTCCCCCACGCCAACCTCCGCTGGTTACCTTTGTATTTTCAGTATCAGACTTATTCCTTAATTTCTTATTCTACCAGCTGGAGACAGCATCTGCCAACTACTTCCCCCCTAGGGGAAGGGTGTTAGCATCCTCGCCTGCCTTCCAGCTTGCCTCGCTCTATGCTCACTCTCAAGTAGGGCCTTCTTCACTCTTTCTTTTACCTCGTGAAAGTGAACAAGCATCTTCTGCAACAGAATCTTTCATGTTTCGTCTATAGGTAGATTCTAAAAGTTGAAAACCAATCAACATCTGTTATATTAGGAGTGTGTGACTATTAGAAATAGTTCGCTATTTTCTCCTAAAGTTTCTTCTTGCTTTTCTTTTTCTTGAACTATGCTCAAATGCTCTCGAGTTTCTCTGTGATAATGACAAATACACACAAGGGTTCTTTGAAACAAGCAAAGCTACTCCCAAGTATATCTTAACAGTTATAAGGATATTATGGAATGAAATCTGAATACTCATTTAAGGAAACTACAGTAAGAAATCAAACTTTAAAAAAAGGCGGGGGAGGGGGGGACCCTGACTGGTGTGGCTCAGTGGGTCGGGCGTCATCCACAAATCAAAGGGTCACAGGTTCAATTCCTAGTCAGAGCATGTGCCTGGAAACTGACTGATGTTTCTCTCTCACATCAATGTTTCTCTATCTCTCTTTCTCCCTTCCTTCCCTTCTCTTTAAAAATAAATCTTTTTTTAAAAACGGGGAGAGGAGGAACACTAATTTGAAAAGAATTAAAGGTCCATCATATGCTTAAGCCAAACCCAAATGGTAACAAAACAGAACTGTTTTAATTTTCTCTCTTTATGGCCCTGACTGGTGTGGCTCCGAGGACTGAGCGCAGGCCTGTGAGCCTACGGGTGACTGGTATGATTCTCCCTCCATTTCGCTCTCTCTAAAAATAAACAGTCTTAATTTTCTCTCTTCATGGATTTAGAGGACACTCAAATATCTTTTCTTGGGCAGTAACACTCATCTCAAGGATAGGCCTGACTCTGCAGCATTCACTTAAACAAACAAAACCCAAAAGGTGCCTAAGAATCCAAGGGACTAAGCTACACTTCCAGAAATGTGACTGGAGAACTTTAAAAAATGGACATTCTTTAAAATATCTCTCTGCAATAAACCAACAGAACGTAAGTAACAAAGGTCTTTCAATTCTAGCTTTTGCACTACTGAATAAAGTAAACCTTCAGGAATTGTTTCTCTAAAAGACTATATCCCAAATTACATCATTACTATGCTCAGTAATTTCATCTTACGAATCACAGGGGCAAAGATAATGTCACGGAAGAGGGTCTGAAAACACTGCCCTTCCCTTGGATGTGGGGAAAGCTTAGTGATGTGTTCAGCCCCACTCTCTGAGCAGGGGCATTAGCTCTAAAACTTTGTCTAGCACTATCGGGATCAGGGATCGCCCAATTAACAACACAAACAAACAAAAAACCCACAATGGGTTAAAGCAGGGAACTAGTATTATTCTTATTAAAACACGCACTCGCCCCCGCAGACCAGGATACACACTGTTTGCTGGTTCTGACCACAGGGCCAAGGACCACCCCTTGGTGTGGTCTCGCAGTTAGTGTGGGTGCTGCCTTCCTCTGAAGCCCTACCTGCAGTGCAATGTCCCACCTCCAGCTCACTGCCCTTCGGGTGGGGAGCATTCCGAGCCACCCGCTGTGTGGCCCCAGCACATCCCTTCCAACTGTCCCCAGGTGTCTCACCTGCCCCCTAGGCCAGCAGCAATGGTTAAAGCTGCCTGCCCTTTACCGAGTCTCTCTAAAGTGCTCATTTTCATAGAAAGAATTCTCCCCTCACATTTGGATTTCACTGGTTTCATATTAACCAAGTAATTGAAACACCAAGTACACCTAGAATACACAGATTTGGAAAGAAAAACGACTGGCTTTGGCGCGGCTGCTGCTTGGGGGTGGGAGCGGCGTTGCAGTGGGCAGTGGGCAGCGGGCACAGCGGACACTGCAGCAAATCAGTTAGGTGGAGGCAGTCGGAAGGATGTCCCCTGTAAACCTGTTGGGCAAGGAACGACTCCTGAAAAATAACTTTTGCATATCAAAGACAAGCCTCTTCCCTATGGAGAAATGGACCAAAACCAAAAATAAGCAATTCACAGAAAATTTAAATTGCTATTAAACATGCGAAGGGTGTTAACCCTCTAGTAATCAGAAAGATGCAAATTCCTCATCAACTTGGCAGGCACATTTCCTTGAGGTGGACCATGCGCGAGTCCGAGGAAACAGGCGCCCTCACCCAGCTGTGATGTTTAGAAGGGCAACTGGCAATGTGAATCGAGTCTTTCAAACATTCTGTAACCTGTGACCTACCTCTGGGGATCTACCCTAAGAGACCCACACATGATCTGTATATACCGGTTTTTAGATAACACAGAAAAGGAAAAGTGCAAAATATTTATCAACACAAGATAAATTAGTTTTGGTCCCATCCGTAAAATAAAATATATTCATAAAGGCATTTAAAATAGTTTTGGAGAAAACTGAAGAGAGTCCAGAAGGAAGGACACCAAAATGTGAACGACAGTTAACTCAGGGTGGTATGTTAACAGTACTGTTCAAAGGAGTTAAGAACTAGGGTCATGGGGTTACAAACACTTAAAATTGTCTTAATTTTTTTCTGTATTTCGGCGTATTGTTTTTATCATCAGAAAACAATTAACAAAAACAGAAAAACTGTTCTAAATAGAAGCCAGCTAAGGCTCCCCTAACTGATGATCTAACATGATAAAGTACACTGGGGGCGGAGGGGAAGGTGGGTACCTTTTCGTGTTGCCCCCGAAATGCACGTGCGTGCTTCCCTCTAGCGACCCAACCTCGTGGCCGTGAGCACGCAACGCTGGCAGACCAGGCCCACACAGGAAATTAAACCAAAGTCATGAATACAGAAATGCTTTTCTTCTCGAATGCCATTTGACCTCCTCTATCAAGCATTCTGCAGCATCTGGATTTGATCAAAGTTACATAATCAGGGGAAGTGGCCTGGAAAACACCTGGAATAGGCAGAGGGCAGATCCTCGCCCAGGGCGACCGTCAGTTTAGAGTCCGGGTTAAGGAGGGACTGTCCCTAACATGGAGGCAGATACTGGAATTTCATGCGAGGGGACGAGGCCTTCTTCGTCAGGAAGGAAAGGGCCTCCCACTGCTTTTTGGTTCAACAGGACGTGAGGAAATCCAAGGCAGTCTCTCAACTTTCCTCTCCAGTTCTTACTCCATTCCACAAATTAATGGCCGAAGCCCAAAGGGAAGTATTGCTCATGCATGCCTCTGGACCGAGACACTGAAGCGCAGCCACAGGCCAACCCCTAAACCTTCCAGTCAATTCCCAATCCAGGCTGATGTCAAAATTGACTCACAATGTACAAATGCCAAGTTCCTTGCTTCATTTCATAGTGAACTATGCTCGTCAACCTTAAAAATGATCACAGCTTACAGGGCCCAAGTTGCAAAACGTACTTAAGTCTTCCTCGCTTAGCACATGAACTTTCTGCCAGTCCCACTGTCAGGAAGTTAAACCCCTAAAGAAGCCCGAAGGCTTCGTTAAAAGAAGATACCCAAAACGGCTCCCCTTTCTGTCCTCCCAGTGGATCTTTTGGCTATTGTTAAGTCTTGGCAAAGAAAAGTTTTAGCTTCTGCTATTATTCTTGTATTTATTTTTTAATTTTTATTGATCTTAGACTGGGTGGAGGAGAAAGAAACCTTATTTTATTTTTCCACTTATTTATGCACTCACTGGTTGATTCTTATGCCCTGACTGGGGATGGAACGTGCAACCTTGGGGGTTATCTGGACAATACTCCAACCAACTGAGCCACCTGGCCAGGTATTCTTGTTTTGTTTTGTTTTTTAAGATTTTCTGCAGCATCCTTTCAGGGTCCTATTTTAAATAGTTTAAGATCTGTATATCTTCAAAAGTGCCTCTCACCCCATTTAAAACCACACTCTTGTTTCACCGTACTGTTAATGAAAGTTTCCGTCATTAACAAAAGTCAGGGGAAGTCACTCATCAGCCACTTTAGCACCGAGAATGGTGTTGTCTACAAAAAGGCCTCCCAAACTCTAAAGAGCTAGGGCTCCAACTATGAGAATATCGAACATTTGGAAATGCCACAAAATCCACTGGGCCTGTGCATGATTAACTTAGACAGCACTCCAAGAAAATGGGTTGGGTCTTTGAAGTACAATTTAAAGATTGTTTGATACAAAATAATCCTTTCTTAAAGTTGTGAGTCACTCATCAAAAATGTTTACCCAAGATTCTCTGATACGGCCTATCTAGTCTAGACTTCCAGAGGCTGCTGCCGCTGAAGCCGCCACACCACCCGCAAACAGGAAGGGAAGGAAAATGCTTGTGAACTCCGGGGCCCGCAGGAGACTTC